TTTTTTGTTACAGCTAAAATATAATGAATTTGAAGATAAGATTTCACGTGTAGATGTAATACTATTGTAAGTATGTGTCCATTTTTTTTTTGAATTTTCTGTAATATTTGCTAGTTGGTGTACGTGCACGGAGTACTGTGCATGGAAAGTTTGTGTGCATAGGATAGGTTCCCGGTCAACTATGCCATGTCAATGTTGTGCTATAGGCTTGCATGGAACTCCCCAATCCGCATCAGCTGGCAACCGATAACTGATCAGGAGCCTTTGACAGAGACGTAGCATCCTCGAAATATATACAAAAATCACACAATTCACCCCTCTAGTCTTTTTAAGGTACCCTTGCATATATGTAGGCCGTCCATTTGTTTGATCCAGTATAAGTGGGCGTGTGGCTTCACTTGTGTATAGTGATCCTAATAATTCATGTACTAGCCTTTTTAAGGTCCCATTGCATATATATATATATAGGCCGTCATGCCCGTCCATTTAGTTTGATCCAATACAAGTGGGCGTGCAGCTCCATTTGTGTATAGCAATCCCAATGATTCACGTATTAGCTGGTGGAAAAAAAAAAGAATGGCTAGCATAAGGGGTGAGAATGATCCAGGATCTCATGGTGGAGAACATGCAATGCAGCCATTACCAGATGAGGTAGGTATCGATTTTGTTTTAATAAGCACACGAACAATATAATTATAGTGTAAATATAATGTATCATTGTAATTACATTGTAATTATAATTATGGTACACTGTAATCACATTATAATTACAGTTTAATTGCATTATAATTACATTTGAGTAATTTTTATTTTAAAAAATATCTTTCGTATAGCAGTCCTGGACCGGAGGAGTTAGCGGAATAAAATAGGGCAGGATGGCTATAAGCCTATAACCAAATATACGTTTCCTTTTTATGTTTAATGTCTATGCCCTTATATCTAGCTTAGCGTTAAAAAAAAATTGCCTACATGGCCGCATCCAACGGCTGAAACTGTCAACTAGGATTTTTACTTATTCGATGGATAAGTAAAACAAAATCTGACGTAAACATGATATGCAGTGGCGGAGTAGAAATTATACAAGACTAAGCTAAGATAGACCTTGACTAATGGAGTAGTATTAGTTTTTTGAAAAATATACATGGTGAATCAACAAAATTTAAGCTTCGGAGGCAGGCCAGCCCTAGCTGCCCTAGATATGTGCGTTAATTGATCTATTTTCCTCTTCAATCGATTATTTTCCAACTCCAACGACCATGTCCGCCGCCGCCGCCGCCGAGCTGCCGGACGACATCGTCGAGAAGATCATCTCTCGCTTGCCGCCGCGCAGCATCGTCACCGGCTGCCGCGCCGCGTGCAAGGCCTGGCGCCGCCTCACCTCCCGGCCGGAATTCTACCGCGCCTACGTCCCACGGCCACGGCCTGTCGCCGCAAAGGTCACCGTGAAGATCAACACTACCCGCGCCGCCGACACCATCGTCCGGTTCGAGTTGTTCCGCAGCCACTGGAACGTCGACGGCGCGGCCGTGCCGCCGTACCGGCGCGTCCTCTCGCTCGGCGCCGCGGCGACGACGGACAAGTACAGCATCTCGTCGCTGGTGCTCGGCTCATGGGACGGCGTGCTGTGCATGGCCATGACGACGGGTGGCCAGGGCGCCGACGTGTACGTGCTCTGGAACCCTCTCACCAACGCCTGCGCCACCGTCTCCGCGCCGGCCGCCGCCGACAGTTCGTCGGCGCCTACGCGCACCCGGCGACGGGGCGCTTCCACATCCTGCACGCCTCCGGCAAGACCGTCGGCCACTACTACTACCGGAAGCAGCTGGCGCCGGCCGTCTTCCGGGTCCAGACGATCGGCGACGCCGCCTGGCGCGTGGGCCCCGCGCCGCCACCCAAGATCACCATGGCGACGACGGGACACGCCGCCGCTCGCTCCGCCGCCCTGCACGGCAAGCTCCACTGGCTGGTGCAGTCGGGCGGCCGCTGGCCGGCCGTCCGGAAGCTGAAGCTCCTGGCGTTCGACATGTCCCGGGAGAAGCTCCGGCTGAAGGAGACGCCGGAGCGCATGGCGGCGATGGACCTAGAGACGGCGCGGATCAGCGTGCTGCCCGCCGCCGCCGGGAAGCTGTGCGTCTTCGCCGTGGAGGATCGCGGCACGACGGTGAGCATGTGGGTGCTCGACGACTACCACGGCGACCACCGCCGGAGCTGGCAGCTCAAGAGGAGGATCGACCTGCTCAGGGACGAGCGCGGGTGGCGCTGGCGGCGCAACCTGTGGCCGGCGTTGAAGCAGGTGGAGGCGGTGCAGGGCGCGGAGGAGGAGGGTGACAAGGTGTTCGTCCACACCCGCGGCCAGGTGAACGCGTACAGCCTCCGGCGAGGGAGGTGGCGGGGCGCCAACGACGTCGCCCGGTCGGTCGCCGGCAAGGTGCACGTGTCGATGGTGAGGCACGAGCACGGCGTCCTGCCATTGCCGCACGAGGTGAGCTTCGGGGCGGCGTCGCGCGTGCTCTCGCGCTCCCGGTCGCTGCACGCCTGGGGCCAGTGTTGCTACCGCCTCTAGCTTCCATTTTTGTTCCAACATTTTACAGTTTTGTTCCATCGTGTTGATTTGGTGCGTAACGAATTTTGGATTGCGCAGCAAATGGCAGAAACAAAATTTTGCGGATTTTTGTTTTCATCATCTTTTTTTTTAAGAGAGAGAAAGACTACCGGGGTTCGCCCAGTAGTTTAAATTATATTAATACTAGAAAAGATACCCGTACGTTGCAACGGGTAAAGACTTTTTACAGTGATATATCAAGAGCTAAGTAATAAATTGAAATATTGGGATCACTATACACTATAATTAAAAAAGTTAATAAAAATCTTAACATTGGGATCGCTATAGATTATAATTAAAAAAATTAATGAAAATATTTCCTAGGTTTTTAGCCAAAAGACTTCCTTCCTTTTCAGCCCTAGGCTAGCCCGCTACCTCCCTCCATTTGGTCTGCTTCTCTTTGACCCTACCATCTTTAACTTTCCGAATATGACTACCATCTTCAACCTCCCGAAGACTCCCGAAGATAATCCCGTGCCCGAAGATAATCTCGTGCCCGTACGTTTGCCAAAGCAAATCTCCCCATCAAATCCGGCCGAATCTTTCTTGGGTAACCAAAATTGTTCAAGGTTTTTGATCCACTCGATCTACTCTTTCCGTTTTCCCCAAAATCAGAGCGTAAAATTCGGGATAAAAATGACCGGGGAAGATCGCCGTCAAAATCGGCAACTTTAGAACAGAGATTAAATCCAGCAATTAAAGCTAAATCGAAGGGGAAATCATTGAGAAAATGGTGAGAGAGGAGTAGGGAATCGATTTTTATAATTAAATTGGAGGAGAAAACACACTATCGATATGGCAGCAGCGTGGCGCTAGGGTTCACCTCGGGAGGTGTGCAGCGAATAGATGGGATTATAAAACCGGATGAGACAAACAAAAAGCACACGGGAGAAAAAACCGGTGACAAAAAATATTGACGAAAAAACTATAAGCACCCAAGAGATGCACGGTGAATAGATCGGATTAAAAAAAGATAAAAAAAAACAAAAGCTTTAGCCGCATAAAAAACTCTTCTACGTGCAAAGAAAAAAGGAAAAAAAACTCTGCGTGCAAAGAAAAAAGGAAAAAAAATACCGGTGCCAACAAAATCAAACAGATTTTTTGTTTTTTACTGGGAGATTTTTTTCCTTTCTCTATAGAGTCAGACAAGAGATATTTTTTTTTTACTAACGACGACGGAAGCTTTTTTTTTAATAGCTCGTTAAGTCGGACTTTCTTTTCTTTCTTTATTTACCTTTTTGATTCGGACTTTTCTTTCTTTTTTTATGTATATAAGACGGGAATTTTTTAAGTAGAGGTATAGATTAAAATCAAAACATAAAACTAAAATCGTTTCAAACACGGATGACGTACCAAAATTCTGGCAAAAACACCTTGAACTTTTATAATAGGTAAAGATATACAGAATTTACAAAAAATCCATGATTACAAAGCTTGCAACCAACTAATTAGGGTGTGTTCGGCACTCCCTTTTTCCAACCCATCTCCCTCGTTTTCCACTCGCACGCATTTCAAACTGCCAAACGATACTTTTTTTGCAAAAAATTTCTATATGAAAGTTGCTTAAAAAAATCAAATTAATCCATTTTTGAAAAAAAAAACTAATACTTAATTAGTCACGCGCTAATGGACCGTTCCGTTTTCCGTACGTACTATTCCAAGTTCCCAGCCGGGAATAGAGAACACACCCTTAAGGGTGTGTTTAATTTTCCAAGTTCCCAGCCGGGAATAGAGAACACACCCTTAAGGGTGTGTTTAATTCTTTGGGTGTAAAGTTTTTGAAGTATATGAACACACATTTGAAGTATTAAACGTAGACTAATAACAAAACAAATTACAGATTCCGCTTGTAAACTGCGAGATGAATTTATTAAGCCTAATTAATCCGTCATTAGCAAATGTTTACTGTAACATCACATTGTCAAATCATGACGTAATTAAGCTCAAAAGGTTCATCTCGCAATTTACATACAAACTTGTGAAATTGTTTTTTCCCTACATTTAATGCCCCATGCATATGTCCAAACATTTGATGTGACGTTTTTGGCCAAAATTTTTTGGGATCTAAACAATCTCTAATAACCGAAGATAAGAGAGGTTCTTTCATCCTACAACTATGAAATCGAATTTCATGCTTGAACTTAACCAACCAATCAGAAGGATGTGGATCCACACTCTGAAAAATGAAGGCATTTCTCTGCTTCCAAATATTCCAACAAGCAATGGAAAAAATTTCCAGAAAGCCTTTTGAGCAGAAAATCGAAACATTGAGCAGAAAATCAGACGGCTGAAAAGGTACACATGGACCAAAATCTCATCAATCCGAGGGGCAGAAGACTCACCCAGTATGAGCATGCACAATATTTCCAAATAAACAGCCTCAGTACACAGGTTGAGATTACAGAATGGATGATTCACCAACTCAACTTCAGTACGGTCTCAAATACGACATGCAACCATGCTAAAATGACATAATATTTCTGAACTGTGACAAACCCACATTCTCTTAACCTAACATATGTACTAACAGCTTGCACACTACAAGCATTACGCCATCCAATCCAGTTATAGATGCAAAATAGCCGGTCAACATTAATACAGCGATAATCATAATGTACCAAACAAATGATGGCTCAAAAAATTATGCAAGGTCACATCAATGCACGGAGCAGAAATTAACAACTTCTTTACTGACAGCTTTTCCTTGTTTCAGAAGGGCAACATCAACAAAGCTGAGTGTTTCTGATGAAAATATAACATAAGGTACATTGCCAGTGCTTGCTTATATCCAGGAAATTTTCAGTAATAAGGTGCAAGCCGCAAGGTGGTTGTGTAAGCAGCAGAAATGATAAGCATGGAAGGTAAGCCTCAGGATCGGGATGGAAAGGCATATCTGAGATCATTGGCAATTTATCCATGGTTGAACCAGCAGTTTTAAAGAAAAGAGAGAAACGAGATCCTGGATTGCTGCTCAGTACAGAACAATATTGATCAGTTTCATGAAGACCTGTCCAATTTTCCCAAATGCTTCGAAGATACGCCTATAACATGATGAGCCATGGACACTGGCTTTAGAAGCAAAAGCCAAAATCAACCGATGTATAGAGGGCCATCATGTGGTCACACTGACACGCTTGCCCTTTAAAGGAAATAGCATAAGTTAGCATCCTATTCCATTTCATGTTATCTGCGCATGACACGGAATTTTTCACGCTTGCGGAAACGCTCAAGCAACAACTCATCAGTAGCAGCTTCTCTCCGCCCTGCACCAGCACCATCTGGATGGTTACCACCCATTGATTTACCTCCAGTTCCATTAGCCTGTGAACCTTGATCTTTGTACAGTTCAGGATGCTCTGCAAGGAAAATGGAACAGTTTAGCACTTAAACGATAAATTATATCAATGATATGCCACAGCTATTGTTTCTAAAACAGAAGTTCAAAAATGGTATTGCTACCATCACATTTCCCATATTCGTGGATTTTGATGCAGCATAGATTGTTTCACAGGCTATTTGCAATTTGTATTATGTAACGATTAGTGGATTCCTTCAATGTTAATTTAAAATTCAGGTCTATTGAGGGGAACAATTGATCTGTATTAAAGACAGCTGAAGATCAAAACTCTTATATAAAACCTGAATACTTCTGCTGTAGGTCCATTGGGTACCTCTGTTTTCTTTATATAGCAAATTGTTCTTAATAAAAAGGGATATCTTAAGAATAAAGTTATATTCGGTATGCTAAAACTGGAAATAAGTTGTTGTGATTGAAGTGTTGCTCTGCAACTGGTCAAAAGCTGGCAGCAGGCCCAGGTGATTGAAGTGAATCAAGAGGAATATCTGATATGCAAATTATCATTCGAAAGCTCTGTTCATGGCTTAGATCAAGTGCCAATCATCAGTTGTTACATAAAGCTGGCATCTGATAAGACTGGTGTGCGCATACCTTGCATCTCTCTCTTACTCATGAAAAAAAAAAGAGGAATCGATAATGGTGTTCGTGTGCTTTACATTGATCATCCATGTATTTATGCATATGAATTACTCATTTGCATGATCCTTTTTTAACCAATTTCATCGTTTACACATGTGCATATGTAGATTACAAGAAAACATGTTTTACTTAGTTTTAGATTGGAAGATAGTTGTTTTGGCTTTTTAAATAAAAAATAGAATATATATTTATTTGAAGAACTGGTGCAGCACTACGGCAGTGTACTAGTGACAAAATTTATGCCTGTCTACAATTCTACATTTCTGATAGACTTGACCTGTTATTTAACTTTATGTGCGAGGTAAATATAAAATTAAAAAAAGTTGTACTTTTACAAATTATTCGTTCCTAGAAACCACAATTAGAAACATATAGTACTTTTTGAAGGCGTTTCTGTTTATTAGACTGGTAAACTCCTCTGGGAGCATTATGTGCCTTACAATATCAGATAGACTTAAGACTCGATAGTTTCTGGTGATGACACTACAAGTGTAAAACTAGTTATGATAACCTGAAAACTGAAAGGTATATGTACAAACCTCTTCTCAACTTTTCGGTGTAATCTTTTCCGCGATGGAAAAAGTCAGCATTATAGCTCGACGGAATGTTAGCATCTGATTTTGTTTTACCGGCAAGCCTTTTCTCTTGTAGCATCTTTTTAGCTGCCTCGGTCTCTTCAATGTTTCTTAATTTGTACCTGCAACAATCAAGAAGATGGTAACATGAATCTGTATATAGCTGCAGGCCCAGTTCTAAAGAAACGCATGAGTGCATGACTCTAGTACCAGAATAATAGATTAATATACATATATAGCACCAAGAACCTTGAGAATATTAACGAGGAACAGGAACCTTTTAGGTTATATTGAACCCACAATGCTGACAGTACAATGTTGAGTTGTTGACCCTTCAGAGACCTTCGAAATCAGGAATTATAATTCGAGCACACCATTGTATGCATAGATCAGTTTAGAACTTTAGATTGAAAATAACAGTTACAGGTTTGTCCATCCCACTGGACCATTTATCTTATCTAACTATCATGCTGTCCTAAAAAGTCTCAATTGGATTATCACATCATTCCCATGTATGATAGAAGAAAAGTTGTACTTTTTTAATAGAAGTACAACCAGAGATGTCCATAAGACCAGTGCATACTTGTAGGGAGTTTTGTAGGTTCAGTTATCTATACCATTTTAAAAGACTCCAATGGTGGTGCTGAGTGGTGAATTTGCCGCCCACCACCACCCACTCCCTGATAGGTGGGCTACTTGTTGTTAGGGCGTAGTAACATGTGTCTTCTAAATTCCCGTGTGAAGGTGATGGCGAAAGCATCTATCTAGATGATTAGAGAAAAATAATGTGGCAAATTTGTTTAGGGTATTTAAAATGTGTATAATGAATTTCTTCTTTTCCAAAATTCTGTTGCAATGCACAGGCATTCAGCTAGTCAATTAATAAATATCCTTATTAACAAGCCCATATGCACATCTCCTTATGATGCATTGCAGTATTTTGGGCACCTTCCCCTTTGAATTACAACATAATATGGAAGACTACCTTAACAACCTTTTATAAACATGAACAAATGAACCTTTTATAAACAAGAACAAACGAAGGGGCACAAGAACTTACTCAATAGGCAGCTGAACTTCAGCAATGCCAGTGGTCCACTGCGTTGAGCTCTCTTCCGAGTTCTTCTTCCTAACCTATAAGCAAAAAATTGATTGGCACCATCATTACAATGCACACATATCAAAACCATGAAATATCCTTTCAGGAGTGCATCGAAGCTCTGTTCGGCTACCAACCTTGAGGTGGTCTGGCACAGTGTAGAGCTCATCGACCTGGTCTTTCTCCTCCTTGTCCTTCACATCAACCTTCTTGCCCCTCTTCTTCAACAGCTCGTTCTCCACATACCTCAGCCTTCAAACATCAGACCCACGCACGCACATACGCTCCGCTTCAATTCCGCATCATCAAAGATGAATGAAAACAACAGATTGGCAAGAACAATCACACGCGAAGTTAAAAACGCACATGTTGGGATCCTCGATGGTGACGGCGGTCTCCTGCGCGAAGGTGTCCTGGAGGACGAGGTCCTCCTTCTCGGCATCCCCTCCGGCCGCTAACCCACCTCCGCCGCCGCCTCTTCCGCGGGGGGAGGCCCCGTCGGCAGAAGCCGCTGACGACGCGCCCGCTGCGGCGGCGGCGGCGGGGATGCCCAGCTTCCTCTCCCGGAGCTTCTGCATGTACTTGATCTCCTCCAGGGCGACGCTGCGAGGGGGGGAGAGGGAGAGAGGCGTCAGTCAGCGAGAGATCCCTACCAAAACCCAAGCGAGAGGCGCGGCGGCGGGAGCGGGGAGAGGGGAGGGGTACCGGCGGGCGTCGTCGTCGTCGGAGTGGTCGGCGGCGGCGTCCGCCTCGAGGTTCCGCTTGCGGAAGTTCTTCCGCATGGTTGGACGGAGCTTGGACTGGTTCCCCGGCGAGGTTTGGGTGGGGTTCGTCGACGGCGGGGTGGCCGGCGGCGAGTTTGCAGATGGTGGCGAGATGGGGATTTTGGATAGGTTTGGTTCGAATTTTTTATTTTTTTTTTCCCCAAATCGGAACGAATTCGCCGCCGCCGCCTCCGACTCAAGGCAGCGGGCCGGGTCGGGCGGTCGGGATGAACCCGGTTCATTGGCGGACAGTTGAACCGGGTCTGGACCGCTTAGTCCGCTTCTTCGCTGCGATCTGGGTCCAAAAGGACAGTGGGCGGACGCGTGTGGGGTGTTTTGAATTTCCAGCTGTCCAGCAGCCATCGAGTTTGAATCAAAATTTTCGTTCTGTCTCTACCGTTCAAAGTTGGAACTCAAAACGGAGTTTGCGTAATTAATTGTAAACTACTCTTATGCCCCTGCCTCCAGTAATCAGTCCTCGCATGACCATGCATTTGATGACCATTAGTTTAATTTTTGAAATAGCATTTAAAGGTAGGATAGTAGTACCTAAAAGTACCATATTTTGATGGCATATACTTAAAATAAAGGGGATGAGACCTTAAAAATATCTACAAATGAAGTTGTTGTCGAGTGTGAAATAGTGATTCTATTGATAAAGATCGTGAGCGTGAGTACGAGGCTACACAAATATGTGCGTAGGGAAAGCTGTCTGCCTGCATTATCCATCCCTATCTCACAGCAAAGCTCACAACTCTCGTTTAGGACCGGGATGCATTTTATACATATTCTATTTAGGTGGAGCGCATAACCACGTAACCAAACAAATCGCTCTGTGTACCCAAGATATGAGCACAAGGCCAGCGAAAGCAATCGAACATGCCATATGATACCTTCCATATGATATGGTTTGGCTCAAATGCTAAAAGTTCAATCCGATAAACCTATACACCACCAATTGAACAAATGGTTGAAGTAGAACAGATTGAAAAATACAAAAGAGTGAGGTAGATGTGATGGTTTGTGTGGAGGAAGATTAACATTAAAAAGAAAAATAAACTAAAGAAAACCATAGTTTGTTCGCCACAATTTTTTTATGATCCTATTTGTTTGAATTTATCGCCGCGTTTGATTTTAACTTATGTTAAGGTTAAGAAATGTTAACTCCTACCTATGCGTTTTGCTCAACGATGAAATGAAAAACAATGAGTTACTATTAGAAAACCATCCACATCAGTGCCAATCATGTGTGCAGAATTATGCACAAATGGAATATCTTTATGGATAAATAATATTTCTATTTACTTGTGGATTTATATACTTCATTTTTAATAAGTGAAGCACAATATATCATTCACTGCATATCATAACCAGACATGTGGATAAATAAAAATGTTCTCTTATTACAATGAGACCATCCACAACAGAAATTGTGTTGATGTGTTGTTCATCCTCCATATTTGCGCTCGGTGTACTCCATGTAGGGGTGGGCGTTTGGTTAGACTAAAAAATTCGGTCTCGGTCTTCGGTTTTTCGGTTAGTTCGGTCTTTGGAAACTCAGGACCGGCAAATTCGGTCTCGGTCTGACCGAATTTTCAGGAGATAAGTTTGAAATGAAAAAAATTGACAGCACTTCCCCTCTTTTCAGACATTTTATCACAGTCATATATATCACAAAAATACCAAATAATAGGCAACATCAAACACCAAAAAATATATCACAAGATAGGTCTCAAGTCTAAACTTCACAACAGCAACAGTTGACAATACAACACTAGAGCTCACAAGTCACAAATAAAAGGCGCGATGGAGGCGGAGGCGGCGCCAACGCAGGTCGCTGGAGGCGGAGGGCGGAGGTGGCGGCGCGGCGCCGAGGCGAAGGTGGCGCCGGCGCTGGAGGCGGAGGGCGGAGGCGACACGAGGCGGGGGTCGGAGGAAACGCGAGGTGGAGGCGTGACGGTGCGCTAGGGTGGGGATTGGTTTGGAGGCAGCGCGATGGATGTGAGGCGGTGAGGGCGTGCTTGACTTTACTCGGCTGTCCTCCTCTAGGGTTTGCTGTATGTACTGGGTTTATTGGGCTTCCTAGGCCTATTGGGCCACAATTCGGTTTTCTCGGTTAATTCGGTTAACCGAAGCCTATAACCGAATTACCAAAAAAATCCGGTCTTTCGATGGCTGAGACCGAACTACTAACCAAATTTCTCGATCTCGGTCTTAGTCTTTTCGGTTCGGCTCATCGGTTCGGTCTTATTCTGCCCACCCCTAACTCTATGTGAGGAGCTGAGGTACGTGTTCCTGAGCTCATCAGAGATAGACCGTGACATGAGATTTGTTGTGGAGCCTATGTATAGACCCTTGAGACCACATACAACATGAAACCTGTGTCCATTCAAGGTGTGTTTAGTTCGCAAAAATAAAATTTTTGAGTGTCACATCATACGTTTGACCGGATGTTGGAAGGGATTTTCGGACATGAATGAAAAAATAATTTCATAACTCGCATGTAAACCGCGAGACGAATCTTTTGAACCTAATTAATCCATCATTAGCATATGTGGGTTGCTGTAGCACTTACAGCTAATTATGGACTAATTAGACTGAAAAGATTTATCTCACGATTTCCCTCCTAACTGTGCAATTAATTTTTTAATCTATATTTAATACTTCATGCATGTGTCCAAAGATTCAATTTGATGTTTTGGGAAAAAAATTTTGGAAACTAAACCAGACTTCAGTGTCTTGGCCTACGTAGCACGTGACACCTCGCTAAAGGTTTTAGGGCGTATCCTGCACTACTGTTGCTTTAAGAGCACCATAAGCACGGCCCACTATACCACTAGTATAATCACCCCATACATCATGGTTAACAAAAGTCAACCCCTAGCCATGCATACACTTTTACTTTAGAATAAAACCAAGCAGCAATCCAGCCAAAATGATCAGGTCAATTCTAGAAGCCGTCCAACAACACATCTTGCTGCTCTAGAAGCGAAGAATTCTCAAAGCAAAACCTTAACGACGACAACAGCAGCAGCTAGCATGGTTTGACCAAGACAAAATGACGACCCATTAATTAACTTGACTCCATATTTAACTACTCTGCTTCCCTTCGAAGTATGGGGAAACTAGTACCAGGATTTACATTAACATTACCGACTGACTACTAAATTTCGAGTCCTATTGATATCACGATTTTTGATAAATTTTAATCGGTTTTTGATAAATTTCAACTGAAATTCGACCAAATATACTGTTTAACTTTTAAAATTTTAATCGAAACTTAATTTCAAGCTGTATCCAAATTTCGTAAAACTCCATCAGTTTTCGTGGAAATTATGAACCCTGACCAGTACTAGCAGGAGCAGCAACCGCGCAACTACCCAGCAACCAACCACAACCCACACGGAAGCAATCCCGGCCGGGCCCCACCCGGCAGCCACCCCCCGACACGCGTCACCACGCGGCAACGCACCGAGACCGAGACCTCGACCCCCGCCCCCCCGCCGGTGGGCCCACCTCGTCAGCGACTCCACGCCCCCGCGCGCGCCGACGAATATTCCCCCTTCCCCCGGGCGTGCGAGCAGGGCCAGTTCCGTCTTCCGTCCGCCTCACTCACGGCGTCGCGCCCACCTCGCCTCCACCCAGGGGCATCCCGGTAAATTCGCCGGGTCCGCGGCTGCTACTACTACCGCCTTTTGTTTTTCTCTCTCGTTTCGTGTGCGCCGCGCGGCTGCTGCTGCTGCTTTCGTCTCTCCTCCCCCCTCCGCTGCTGCAAAGCTTCCAGAAAGAAAGGGGAGGAGAAAGGAGGTGGAAAAGCCAAAGGCAAAGGCAAACCACGCGTCTCTCTTTGGTATTCGTCTCTCCATGGCACGCGTCCTCCCCCTCAGCATCGAGGCGGGGGAGATGGCCATGCCCAGGTATTCTTCCTTCCCCGAGCTCTCGCTGCAATCTGTTTGTTTGCTTGTTCATCGCGTTCAGATTGTTGGAGTTATTTTTTTCCTTCGAAAAAAAGGGGAAGTTTGGTGGTGTGTTGGCGATTTTCTTAGTAGGAGAAAAAAGGAGTTTGGGTTTAGTTGGAGCCGACGATGCATCCAAGGTGGTTTGTTTGGGAGGCTTCTTGTTAATCTGTTCTTTTACAAATTCAAAATAGAATTTTTGTCGGCCGAAAATTTTGGAGAATTTTTTGTATGCCAAAGATTGCGGGTGTGGTTGTTGGTTTTAAGCCTCGAGGTCGGTTGCGTTCTCCCACCAAAGTGCAATAGCATTGCGTCATGGCGTGTGGTTTGGGCTTATTCGGTTCTTTCAATTTTCCGTACTCCAAGAGGAAAACAAAAGTGGCATTTATGCGTGCTGTGGCGTGCACTTTGTTCTTCGTTGCCGCTTATCCGCCATTAGAGAGCCCATTGAGCCTTTTGGTCACGGGCGCTGTGATGTGTGATGGGCACGGGTTGATGTTCCCCTCGCAGCAGTACCATGCACGGACACGGACACAAGACTCACGGGGTGTTGTTAACTGTTTCTTCACCTACGCCCCGTTTTTTGGAGGCCAATGTGGCACATGAACGAGCAAGAAGGGCAGCGAGCATGGAGTGATCCATTTGGGATTCTTTCAAAATCGTTGCAACTCAAGCGGGAGCTATTTTGGGAAATCTTGCTTAACCATGTTTATAACATCGGTTTTTTTTACTGTTACAGCTTAAAACCATATCTGAAATTCTAGTTATAGCAGTATTTCGCATGGAAAGATGGAGTGTCATGATTGAGTGCTGTCTGTTGCTCTTTACGAAACCAATGTTGTAGGGTGTTGAGTACTGCAGATAAACTGGGAAGAAATTGGCCGCTGGCAGTTTGACTAGATATGTAAATTAAGTATACTTGTTGTATTGTGTTAAACAAATAGAAAAATACGAACTGGAACATTTGACCTGGTTATTCAAATTTTAGATCAAGGATTGTCACATGTCAAATGTTTTGTCTAGTTCATGCCACATTGCTGTGGTGTGAGAAAGATGACCTGTATTTCAGTAGAATAGATATGCAGTTATTGCATTAGTTTTAGGGATTACTGCACTTTATTGTCCAAATGTAGCACCCCGATGGCATCTATTGATTGAGCTATAGATCGATGTACATTCTCTGTTCGGTCATGAAATCTAGCACTTCATTTTATCGTCGTCCTCATTTTACCAGGTTCTGTATGGAAAAGCCATGTAGATTATCATGGCCTAGAATGTGAAGTTTTTTGGCAGCCAATTTTCTCTGGAAGCTTCACCTTCTCTGTATTGCTATCCTTATTTACATATACATGACTAGATGGGCCCTCTAGCAGATGGGCCAGCACATAAAACACACACATACTGTTGTATTTACAGCCCAACACTCCCCCTCAAGATGGGTGATAGATATCTATCATACCCATCTTGTCACATGAACTATTACACTCTTTAACACCTAAACCCTTTGTGAAACAATCAGCAACTTGTCCACCAGACATTACAAATTCTAATTCCAAAACTCCCTCATCCAGTTTTTCCTTGATAAAGAAACGATCCAACTCCACATGCTTTGTTCGATCATGTTGAACTGGGTTGTTAGCAATGCTGATTGCTGACTTGTTGTCACACCACAATTTCATTGGAGTATCCACCGGCAACATCAACTCAGAAAGAAGATTCCTTAGCCATAACAACTCACTCAAACTCACTGACATTGCCCGATATTCTGCCTCAGCGGTTGAGCGAGACACCACCGGTTGCTTCTTGCTCCTCCAAGATACTAGATTGCCACCAACAAACACACAATAGCCTGAAGTTGATCTTCTATCATCAGGACAACTTGCCCAATCTGCATCACAATAGCCTTCAACCTCCAAGTGTCCATTTTTCTTAAACCATAGGCCTTTACCTGGGCTTCCTTTCAAATATCTCAAGATCCTATAGACAGCATCCATATGCCCACTCCTTGGATCATGCATATATCGACTCACCATACTGACAGCATAAGTTATGTCAGGTCGTGTATGACATAAATATATCAGTCTCCCAACCAGCCTTTGGTATCTTTCCTTATTCACTGGATTTCCAGACTCTGCACATAACTTATGATTTTGATCAACTGGTGTAGAGGCTGGGCGACATCCAAGCATACCTGTGTCACTGAGCAAGTCCAATGCATATTTCCGCTGTGAAAGAACTATCCCTCTAGGAGATCTTGCAATTTCAATACCCAGAAAATATTTCAACTGGCCTAGGTCCTTAACTTCAAATTCTTTGCTTAGATTTTGTTTCAGCCTAGTTATCTCCGAGCAATCATTTCCAGTGATAATCATATCATCAACATAAACAGCAAGAATGGTTATATGATCTCCACTATGATGATAGAAAACTGTGTGATCTCCATTACATTGTTTATAGCCCATAGCACACATTGCACGCCTAAATCGATCAAACCATGCTCTTGGCGACTGTTTGAGACCATATAAGGATTTCTTCAGTCTCAATACTTTACCTTTAGTTTGCAAAGTAGCAAATCCAGGTGGAATTTCCATATATACCTCCTCTTGAAGATCGCCATGTAGAAAAGCATTCTTGACATCCAATTGATGTAATGGCCAATCAAAGTTAACTGCACAAGATATTATAGTTCTTACCGTACTCATTTTTGCAACCGGTGCAAACGTTTCATCATAATCAATTCCATATGTCTGGCTATATCCCTTAGCCACAAGTCTTGCTTTGTACCTCTCCACTTTTCCATCCGGATTTTGTTTCACTGCATATACCCACTTACAGTTTACCACTTTCTTTCCATTGGGATAGGATACAAGATCCCATGTTTTGTTCTTCTCAAGAGCTTCTAGTTCATCTAGCATTGCTTGATGCCACCTTGGGTCTTGCTTTGCCTCTTTCCAATCCTTAGGAATTATAGCTGAATTTAGAGATGCCACAAAGGCCTTGTATGTCGATGACAAGGAAGTGTAAGATACATAATTGGCTATATCATTCTCATCACCACTTTCATCTCCAATTTCAAAACCATATCTTTGTGGAGGTTTGCCTGCATTGCTTCTCATCCCCTTTCTTATGGCAATTGGCAAGTTTGATTCTTCTTCTCTAATTTCTATTTGTTCTCCCCCTGACTCCGAAGACACTTGCACATGAGTAAGATCATCTGATACTTGATCATCAACTTCAACTTGTTGAGTTGTTGGAAGTCTCATTCTCCTTGTGTAAACTTGAAGATTTTCCTCTTCATGTGGCTTTCTCCATTCTTGTTCTTGTACAGGATCACCTATAGCACATGGAATTTCACCAACCACAATCTTTCCCTTTGATTGTTCATTCTCCTTGAGACCCAAGATTTCACCTTCCTTTTGTTGATCATGGTCACCTCTAGTTAAATCATCAAGATCAACAAATAAAGAGCTTATATCTGTTTTCTCACCATAGAATGGAACAGATTCCCTAAACGTAACATCCATACTTACAAATGTCCGCCGTTCTGATGGACTCCAACACTTATACCCCTTCTGGCTGGATGAATAGCCTATAAAGATGCATTTAACAGCTCGAGGATCAAGTTTCCCAATAGATGGTCTATGATCTCTAACAAAACAAGTGCAGCCAAACACCCTCGGTGGAACCACAAATTCATTCTTCCCAAATATCATCTCATATGGTGTCTTCATTCCAAGTATTCTTGATGGTGTGCGGTTGATGAGATAAGCTGCCGTCATTACTGCCTCACTCCATAGAAATTTAGGTACATTCATAGTATACATTAGTGACCGAGCTATCTCCAAAAGATGGCGATTTTTTCTTTCAGCCACTCCATTCTGTGGAGGAGTATCAGGACAAGAAGTCTGATGTAATATTCCTTCCAAAGAAAGAAAGTGACCGAATTCACTATTCATATACTCCCCTCCATTATCAGTTCTAATAAACTGAACCCGAGCATTAAAATGATTTTTAATATATGCATAAAAGTTTTGGAAGCATTTAAGCACTTCATCCTTATGTCTCATGAGATATAACCATGTCATGCGGGAATAGCAATCAATAAAGGTGACAAAATATTTCATTCCACTCATAGAAACCACAGGCGACGTCCACACATCTGAGTGGATTAGCATAAAGGGCAAAATACTGCGAAGTCCTCTACTCACATATGATGTTCTAGTATGCTTCCCATACTCACATGCATCACATATCAGCATATGTTTATCCACTTTACTAAACTCTACCGGGAACATTTTACTCATAATTTCAAAAGATATATGTCCTAGTCGACAATGCAAAAGTAATACCTCAGTCACTTCTTTACTTGTTGAAGCCATTAGTGCACACACATCCTCATTTGTCCCTCTTCTGTCCAAGTACCAAAGTCCATCACGCCTGATACCAATCCCAAGTTTCTTCCCTGTTCTTCTCTCCTGAATTAAACAATTCTCACGATCAAGGGAAACCCGACAATCCATATTATCAACAAGAGAACTTATTGAAATTAAATTCACTGGAAAAGAATGGACATATAACACTGATGACAAAGTAATGGATGGAGTACATTGCACTATGCCCTCCCCCTTAACCTGACATGATGTGCCATCAGCAGTTTGAATGGTCTCTTTATGTGCAAATGAATATGGTTTATATGATGTAAATTCTCCACTCATGCCAGTGACATGCCTGGATGCACCTGAGTCTAATATCCAACTTGAATGAGAAGTGTTCATAGACATAAATGCTTGATTAAAACTACCTGAAGTAGAATGAGCAAAGTTGGCAACATTGTCAGGTGTAGTCCCGGAAGAACCCTCTTCTAGAGTAACTGCATTAGCCTTGTAATCACCTCTATATCCATAACCTCTTCCTCTATTGCTCCTACCAGCATAGCCTCTTCCACCTCTTGTTCCACCTCTATCAACACCTCTTCCTCTCCCATAAGTAGGCTTGCGTGGAGCATGACAATCACGCATAAGGTGTCCCATTTCACCACAATTGAAGCACTCTCTAGTCTCTTTACCTTGTACAATTGCATAGGTGGGACTTGGTGAACATGGTGCGGCACTAGGCAATACTTTCTTCTTAAGCTCCTCCTGTGCCATAGCTGCAATGGCCTCATCTAAGGTAGGAAGAGTGGTTTGGTGAAACATTGCATCTCTTCTTCCTTCGAACTCTGGATTTAGACCCTTCAAGAACTCAATAACCCTTCTACGCTCAACCCATTTCTTCATTTTTGCTATGCAATCAGAGTGCTCTAATCCAAGAGGATCATAATGATCTAAATCGGACCACAAACTCTTCAACTCTGCGACATATTCTGCCACAGAGCGCTCCCCCTGTCTCAAAGCACTTATCTTCTCTTGTGCCTCCACCATTAGCATCACATTACCTTCTCCTGAGTATAGTTTAGTAAGAGTTTTCCACATCTCACTCGCACTAGAGATAGTCTCAACAGTTGTAGCAATAGCTGGGATTAATGAAGTCAACAACCATGCCACCACTAAAGAGTTGGTAGTGCTCCAAGTCTTCCATTCTACACTTGATGTGTTCTCAGGCTCCTTCACTTCTCCTGTGACATATCCTTCTAACCCCTTTGTTTTTAGTATTAGTAATGCCCTCCTTGACCAACTCAAATAATTTTTGACACCCTCCAACTTGATTTCGTTTTGCATTAACTCAATCTTCAGTATTGATTCAGTATGAGGGATAATTGCATTGCTTGTAGTTGAGGCCTCACTAAATTTTTTCGCTAGCATGTCCACCAATTTACCCATCACTTGTTCTATTCCTTGATTTTCTGCCATAATGCAAATTCTGAAACTGCAAACCAGTAGAAACCCAACTAGCAGATCTGAGCCCCCTGTTCTACCTTTCCCTTCCTATAGATTGCTCAAATAGTCAATATCACAAAAGCAGTAGCTGTGCTTTTATCTCGGTTTCCTTGCCAATCACACACCCACAAGAGATGCAAAGTCTTCACTGTGCTGTGACCCCGCCACTACAGAGCAAGAGCCACTTCTTCCTGAGGAGCACCAACACCAGCTGTTTACCAGCACTTTCTTTCTTGCCTCAGCCCAAAGCAGCTCTGCACCTGCGAGCTCAGCCCCAAGCAGCAGCAGCAGCTCCGCACCTGCAGCTGCTCGGCTTCTTCCTCCTCGACGCGCCGCGCTGGCCCCGCTCTTCCGCGCCGCTGCTGATGCGCACTCTCTACCCTGCTCAAGCCTCCACGCCTCCGGCCAGCTAGGGTTCAGCCGTCGCCTGCCGCCGGCCGGTCGGCTCTGATACCATGAAGTTTTTTGGCAGCCAATTTTCTCTGGAAGCTTCACCTTCTCTGTATTGCTATCCTTATTTACATATACATGACTAGATGGGCCCTCTAGCAGATGGGCCAGCACATAAAACACACACATACTGTTGTATTTACAGCCCAACAGAATGTGAGATCAAATGACAAAGATATGAGCCATGCTTGTGAATGTGAGCATATCAGATTAATTTTTGTTGCACATCTTGTTTAGATTTAATCCATACAACTAATTTCCATGCTTTTCCAGTACACAAAACAAAACAAGCACATGGCATCTTTACTTCAATGAGATAAATTGATAAAATTTGTTACATGTTTTGAGTAACTTCTTATTCTAATCTGCTTGGTTTGTAAACAGACGTGAAGAGGTAGTTACAGACATGCCAAGCTCTTCCGCAGTGGCATCAGGCAACGGAATCGAACAACCTGAGCAAAACACAAAGGATGATGAATATGAAAGGCTGGTCAGACCAGCTCATAGTGTAATAGCTGATGATAACACGGTAGTCCTACCTGAAGAACCTACCTCAAGGTCCATTTGGTGGATGAAAGTTCTGCTTGGCTGCTTCCTTCTTATATTAGTATCTTATGTCTTCGTGAAATGGGGAGTCCCCTTTGCCTTCGAGAAGGTGAGCATCAAGGGTAATATTTGTCATAGGTTCATAGGTTGACCAAGTACTGAAATCTTGACTTGAGTTCTTTTTATGGTTTGTCGGCAGAGGTTTCTGCTTATGAAACCTCCACTACCATGCATTAGTGGAGGTTTCTGCTTATGAAATTTCAAACTGTTGATTGATAGTTTGACTAGTCCATATGTTCCCATGTATACCCTAGTTTATGCACACCAGTTGGAATGCTAGATGAATGTATGGTTAATGGATGCACGGCTGTCACAATGCAATTTAATTTCAAGTTTACAAAATTTTCAATTATCTCTTGTTTTTGTACCATGTTGTGCCAGATAGGAGTAACATTTTAATCATATTCATTTTCCAGAAAATTGTTTGGACTTATGTTGGAAGATCTGTTTGTTGTAGGTTCTCTTGCCAATCATGCAATGGGAAGCAAGTGCCTTTGGGCGTCCAGTTTTGGCTGTTGTTCTCGTTGCATCTTTAGCCCTCTTCCCAGTTACTTTAGTCCCTTCTGGACCTTCCATGTGGCTAGCTGGAATGATCTTTGGCTATGGTTGGGGTTTCTTGATTATTATGGTTGGGACTACTATAGGCATGGTGGTTCCATATTGGATTGGCTCATTGTTCCGCGAACGTCTGCATGTAAAAATTCTGAACTGCATGTTCTTGTGATGTCTATTTTAGGACCTGCATCTTTTTTGAAGGAGCTTTGCCCTAATTTTCTGCTCTCTTCTTCCCTCTACATTTTTTAATGCAGGCATGGTTAAAAAGATGGCCTCAGCAGATAGCTCTAATAAAACTTGCTGGGGAAGGAAATTGGTTCCAGCAGTTTAGAGTTGTTGCACTATTCAGAATCTCGCCATTTCCATATACAATTTTTAACTACGCTGTAACTGTGACAGAAATCAAGTTCAACCCTTATCTATGTGGTTCAATTGCTGGGATGATACCCGAGGCGTTCATCTATATTTATAGGTTGGTTACATACCTCTCCAATCTGCAGACATCCAATTTTGCTACCTATATGTCCTCACTCACTGTATTCCATTGCTGTTTATTTATCATGTTGTCAACAATAGTGCACCTAGTCACTGATTTTTAATGAATCGCTCTTTCAAGCATAAGCTCACCAGTAAAACGGTATTGGATATACTAGTTTTGCAAGCTATATATACATGAAAACATGTCAGAAGGTTTGTGATTGATAACTTATTATAAAAGAGTAAATTTATATTATATAGGAAAAGTTATCTGTGCAGGATAACTATCTTTACAATAACTTTAGCAATTCAGTAGTGTATACACTTGCAGTTAATCAACTAATGCAGGTCACCGACACATGCAATTTTCTTTCAGGAGTTACTAAGTGCACTAGGTATGGTGTTCAGTGATGCGCTTTTGATTGTTCATCTTTCTATGTTTTGGTGCAGCGGGCGGTTGATACGCACATTGGCTGACATGAAGTATGGCAACTACAAGATGACACCGGTGGAGATAACATACAACGCCATCTCGTTCGTCATCGCTGTTGTCCTCACGGTCGCCTTCACGGTGTACGCCAAGAGAGCTCTGAATGACATAAAAGAGTCGGAAGGTATTTTAACAGAAGAGTATGGCATATCTACTGGCCACAAGAATCCCCATCAAGAGCGCTCCCCATCACGGCCTGTACCATTGGATGATGTTGTATGACGGCGTTGTTCTACAGGGACAAAGTACATACGGCTGCTTCAGAAAGGGAGAAACTGAGAAAGTAGGATATTCATCTCTCGTCTGCTTTTCTCCAGCGGAAGAAGAGGTGTAGTGTAGGTAGGCTAATTGCATAAGGTGAATGCACCTGTCTAACTCAAATACACGCCCTAACTAAGGTTGTTGATTCATTGCGTGCACTGTTGTTGGCTAGAGGTTTTCGTCTGGCTTCTGTTGGGTTGGGAATGTAGAGGATAGCACTGGCATGTCAACTGACTAGTGATTGCTGGTGTCTGTCTGTACTAGGTGATCTTGCAGCAAGTGTACTAGCATGTCTGCATGCTTCACCTTCGTGAAAATGTCGATTCTTTTCTCCCTTTGTTCCTTTTCTTTGGCAAATATACAGATATCTTCATTTTGCGACGAGAATATACTGTGCCATGGGAAATGGTACTGCCGTAGCACTTGGATTTGGAATTGGCCGTGACCATTTCCCATGGTTTATACAAAAACAGGAGATCTCTTCTGTTATTGGAATTGGCCGTGATCATTTCTCACGAGATCTCTTCTCATGCTTTGTATACAAAAAAATAACATAATAAAGGACCATTACTGTTCTTGTTTCCTCCAGTTTCAGCATGATGCCTTCGCTTTTGGGCCTACAGGTTGGGCGGCTCATGTAGGCCTCCCGTTTGCATCTGGGCCGCATTGGCTGTCGCAGGGCGAACAGTTAGACAGTAGAGTGCTCTCTGCTCGTTTAGTCCCACCTCGCCTAACCAAGTCGGAGGCCTTAGGGAGCTCTGCTATATATAGGGGTCTGGTGCCAACGCTTGAACTCACGCAGCTGCGCGGTGAGCACAGAGCGAACTATTCTTTCGCCTTTTACTAAAGAATACCGTGTGCGCGCCGCAATTAGCAGCATACGCTAATTTTTGGAGGGAACCGACTCTTTTGAGGAGGTCCCCACAAATAAATTTAAACATTTTTCTCTATATATTTGAAATTTGCAGTTAAAATTTTCATATTGTATCTATATAGACTTCAAAGCAGTTCTTTAATTTCTTTCAATTTCAATTCAGAAATCGCTATTTCTATGTCAAATTTTAATTATTTTTTTTGCGGGGATATCAAAATTTAATTAACATATGGGCATGTAAATACATTCGTATTTTTGGAACATATATCATATCAATTCGTGCACTTGTGGTCAACTTCTTCCAAGAATGAAAAAAACTTGTATATATACACTATGTCAAACAACTTTGCTAGTACTATATCAATGTATATGTAATTAATGTATATTACCTGTTCTACAAGATCTACACTAAAATTTAAATTAGTATGCAATTATACAAATTACTCGGCAAAAGTTTCATCTTTTTTTTCTTCTTCCACGGCGAAGGCCGTCCATGATCAGTCAGCCGCAGCGACGGTGGCTACCAGCCCATGCTGCAGGGGCGACGGCCGGAGCGCCTCCCTCGGCGTGGCGGGCGCCGCCGCGCCGTTGAAGCTCCGGCGCTGCGGCGACGAGAACCGGGAGGACGCGGACGCGGCGGCGGCGCTCCTCGGCGACAGGTTGACCTGCTCCAGCGCCCGCAGCTGCAGCTCCGACGGGTAGTCGCGCACGCACCCGATCCGCGGCCCGGCGCCGGTCGTCCACCGGAAGGAGAGCTGCTTCCCGAGCTGATACGACCTCATCCCCTTCTTGGAGTTGATCCTCTCCAGGATCTTCTCCCTCGGCACCGGCGCCTGCTCGCCGCCGCCTTCTTGATCCTCCTCCTCGGCTTCAGTGTTCTCAGCAGCAGCAGCAACAGCTGACGACGAATCTACCCTCCTCGTCGCCGCCGGTTCGTCGCAGCCGTCGATCTCTGCACAGGTTGGTTCGTCAGAGACTCGAGGCATCTGGGAATTGCCGGTTTCTTCAGCTTCAGCGGCTTGGTCTTCAGAGTTGTCAGTGGCAGTGTTCTTGGGGTAGCTCTCTGAACTGATCCTTTTCAGGCTACCCCAGAATTCCTCGTCCTCCTCTGCTGGGCTCATCTGCACCAATTCAAAAGGATGTCAGATTACAAATTCACAGCTGAATGGAGTTTTCAGTTTGCTTGAAAATTTACAGGATAACTGCAGCATTGAGAATTTTTCTTTTTCAGTTTCTGTCTGAATTTACATGATGTGCTTGCTTACCTTAACATCGGTGAGATCGACAGAGTTGTCGTTCAGGAAGCTCTTGAACTCCTCGAAGTTCTCCTCAGTTGGGCGGTAGTGTCCACTATGTGGCCAAATAGCCTGTCAGACAAAGAGGAAACATGATTGTGTCAGCATTTTGTCTGCAACTAGAACTCAACACATGACCCAGTTCTTTGTAAAGGATGAACAAGTTGTTCAATGGACTGACTATAAACAATACATACCTTTAAGGTTCCATTTTCAACCACCAATCGCCCGGCAGCAGAAGTCGCCCCTCCAGCAAGGAAGCTTGAATGTTGAAATTTGCCTTTCTTCTTCTGCATTTGAGATTACAAAAACAAAATTACACAATGAACGGACATTTCTAAGGCTGGCAATAGTTTTAGCCAATATGACACAAGATATGTGAAAATTACCTGGCCAACATACAAGCTCTTTGATGTGCTAAGAACAAAGATCCACTTTGCATCTCTTGGCCCACAAGAGGTATCGAGGATTTGCCGGCTTTTCTTGTACAAGAACTTGCCATCCTCAAGTATAACTTCATAGTCCTCTCTTTCTTTCTGCACAAAATAATTTCAGTTTTTTCATGTTAGCCACTTTACAACTTCGTGATGTTCTAACTCTAGCAATTCTTAGCATCATGTTTGCAACCACTTACAGGACCAAGGTACTTGATGCATTGGCTCAAAAGCTTCGACCTGGAGCACTTGCCCTCAAGATTGATCTCTTTCCCTTCTCCCACATCAAGCCTGCATTACATAATCAAATCAGGATCATGATCCATGAACTAACATTTCTATTCAGTCTGAAACTGTGATATCTGAGTGACAAGTATACTGACCAGTAGAAGAAAGGCTGCTTGCTCTCGCAGTGGAGCCAGGTATCATAGTAGTAGTGAAGGTTGTGACCATACCGGTGGCGCGGGTCAATCTGAACATTTGCAACATTAGCTCATTGAACGATAACACAGCGGTAAAAAAAAAAAAACTGAATAATTTGCACACATTCAACTTGTAACTCAGTACTCACCGCTTCGAGCCAGTGCTGTAATGCGAGTTTCTGTGCCTTTTCATCCTTGGACAATCCCTTCCCGACCTGAAATTCAGCCAAATTTTGCAAAAAGATGTTCAGATCAAATTACTCAGAGACACAAACTGCAGGTGGTAAAAAAAGAAAAAGAAAAAGAAAAAGAAAAGGCAGTGTTGTTACCTTGGCAGCTCGGGTTCTTGCTCTGGACCATCTGGAGACGGCCGTCTCCTGCTTCTCGATGTCGAAGAAGGAGACGGAGCTCCGCTTGAGGAGGGCGAAGTCGAGGAGCTTCCACCAGCTCTGCTCCACCAGCACGGCGCAGTCCGCGAGCTGCCGCCGCGTCCGGAAGCTCTTGTACACCTTCTGCAGCTTCACCGCCGCCGCCTCGTGCTTCGGGCTCTCCGCCGCCGCCGCGCCGCCGTCGGCGGCGAACCTCGCCCTTGGCGCGGCGGCAATGTCGGCGGCGGCAGGCTTGATGGAGATCTCGGTCTCCACCTGGAGGAGGGAGGTGGGGCTCATCTGCTGGTCACGCTTGAAGCTGAGCGACCCTTCGATGAGCAGCTTCCCGGATCCCAACGCCTTCAGGATCGCCGCCGGCTTGCCGCCGCCGGAGTTCGACTCCGACGACGCCGCCGCCGCCGCCGCGGCGCTCTCCTCCAATGCGTCGTAGTCATCGACGGGGCACGAGAAGAGGACGCCCATTTGCTTGCAGCCCGGATCTCTCTCTTTCTCTACCACCTAATCCAACCAAACACAACACCTTCAGATTTCAAGAACAAGAATAGCAACAAACACCACCAAACAAACAACAAGCTCACGACTTCACTAACAAGATTGGATCAAAAACTCAAAACGACAAGAACTCACCTCACTTTCAACTAGACAACTAGGATCTTCTCCTCCTGTTTGTAATTAACCTCTAAAGCAACAAAACAAAAGGTGCCTGATCGCTTTGTGCGTGCGTGTGAGTGTTTCTTGGCTGCAGGAGCTGGATATCCGATGGAGGCAGTGCGAGACGACGGCGATATATAGGGAGCTCGGCGAAGGCGAGCGGTGGCGAGAAGAAACTAAATAAAATAAAAAAAAAGGTTTATGATTTCCACGTACGTACGTGTTGTCAGGCAGGTGTGTCACTCGGCATCGGCACTGGACAGGCCGGCGCTAGTCTGTCAATGGCGACGAGATGAGATGAGGTGAGAGCGTGTATCAAACCACGCGACGACGCTGTTTGGGTAGGTGGTGTCCTCTTCTCTCCTGTCTCCTCTTCTCTAGCCATGGATCTGCTCGTGTTTTTTACTACTATTTCTTTCTTCTGAAAATTCTTAGTTACTGCAAATACTAGCTTGTTTGGAATGTCTGAATTTCTACTGATCTGGTATACGGTTATTGCTTGTACAGCAAAAGAGCCTCTGCTTGGAATGTCTGAATATTTGCCTCTGTACAGTTACTGCTTACACATTCTTTGCAAATTCTTGACGTTTTCAGGCAGGACCTGTTTTAAAGTTGGATTGATTTTGTTTTTCCTCTACAATGCACTGAAAGTGAAATGGCAATGCCGATGGATTTTACACGTAGAAGTTCAGAGCAACGAGGAAAATGACAAACACAAGCAATCTGAATCAGCATATAGGTCGGTCGGTTTGGTCAAATAATGTTACTACTACTACTACTCTGCTTGTGGAGTGATTATTTATAGTCATGAGTCATTTTCGTCTCGAAATATTTGCGCTTTGACTGGCAAAACTTATCAGCTGACTTAATCTCCGTCAACATAGTTAAATCGAGTGTGAATGTAGCCCATATTTCAGTTTTAAGTATTCAAATGCTGTTTACTGATGTTCTTGATGGAATTTTTCAGAGTGCTGGACCTTTTCACCATAATTTACCAAAGCTTATGAAGGGACTTAATTAGCTAAAGGTAATGACATACACGCGGCAATTTCTTGTAACCATGCATGGTTATTCGTTAGGAAGGATGCTGAAAGTCAATTGCAGCGACAAGGAGAGACGATGGCAGCGACAGGTGATACGTTAATTATGGACGGATTCAAAAGGTACAGTTTATCCGATCCATTTAGTTTGTACTTTGTGCATCATCTGAGGATGACATGTTTGCTTGGTAAGCAATCTGGATTAGTAAATTCTTTTACTTCTAGAAGGGTACGATTCAGTTTGTATTGTGCTTCGTCCAAAGATGACATATTTACTTGAGCAATTTTGAATTTAATCAATTTTACTTCTAGATGGTTAGGATTCACTTAGTTCGTGTTGTGCATTGCCCAAAGATGGCATGTTTACTTCATAAACAATCTTAACTATTCCCTCCGATTAATATTATAAGCTGTTTGACTTTTTTTTATACAAAGTTCTTTAAATTTGACCAAGATTATAGAAAAAAAATAGCAACATCTACAATACCAAACTAGTTTTATTAAATTTAATATTGAATACATTTTGAAAATATGTTTGTTTTGTATTGAAAATATCAGTATATTTTTCTACAAACTTAGACAACTTAAAGAAGTTTGACTAAAAAAAGTCAAACACCTCATAATATGAAACGGAAGGAGTAGTAAATTTTACTTCTAGGCTAGATTGGTAGGATTATAAAAGAAGAATCTATAAACACCAACCAAATAGCCTATCATAGGAACTATATATACGAATCTCTGCTATTATAAAAATTGAAGATATTTTTATTGGTACTTTGGTACGTCATATGTGGATGAATCGGTTTGTAAATTCATTCGCTTTTGAAAACACAGATCCATATTTGAGTCGGATTTTAAGTTCGTTCACTTTTGTAAATACAAAAGGAGTCGCATAAGAAATCTCATTAAAAAAATTCGCATGCTAACTTGAGACGATCGGACTCCTAGTTGCAGCTCATGATTTTCTATCCAAGCGAATTTAACACAGTAAATTTCATTCTACCTAAACCGTATAACAATAATAAAATTAAAATAACATTCATCCATTGCAACGCACGGACATTTTTCTAGTATACGAAAGAATTTGTCCTTGAATTTGATCTATTTACCGTACGTACTCCACATTGCTAGATTTTGATTCCATTTTCTCTTCATCAGTGTACACGGAAGTTGATTTTGGTTTACGCCTAATAGAAATGGTCAGTGTATGATGTTTACGCAAACAAACATATTCGTTAGTTTTGCTTGTATATGAGACTCTTATCGTGCAAATCAACTGTATATGGACACGTCACTGCATATACGTTGATGACGTGGTTGCCATTCTAGGTGGCACGTGGCACGCCATGGCCTGATGGCTACAGTTTGTCTTGTTTTTGCTTAAATTGACTTGAGCGCTGCTGGTCGGTCGGTTACTTTCGCCCATGCCGTGTGAGACTCAAAAATGGGATGGACTGACAGTCCAAAACTCCAAATTTGTCGAGAAATTTGGACGGTGCGGCTGTGTTTAGTTCAGCGCAAAGTTTAGATTTTGGTTAAAATTAAAGATGATGTGACTGAAAAATTATGTGGGTATGATAGGCTGATATGATGAAAAATGACTGAAGTTTCGATCCAAACTTTGAATCTAAACACAGCCTTTATATATTTCTTTGTCTACGTGGACACCATGGGCCATGAGTTGAGAAATTGGACACTGCCACAATTTTGTTTTCCTTCAATGTTGCTAGGTCTCCAAGCAAAAACCCAAATGTGGGTGCATCCTACTTAGGTTAGCACATCATAGAGCAGATCTGCAACAAGATTGTAACTAAGCATGGTCAACAGGGTACTAAATTAACCATAAAAATACCTTACAGCGAGTAATCAAAATTTTGGTAAAATGCATAATTGCGACATCTATAACTCCAGGAAAAAAAATCAAATCAAATGTATATTCATGACTTGTGCAAGGAAAATCAATAACAGCCTCATCTTTTCGCTTATGCTTATATGCTCATCAGTTAAAATTTAAATTTTCAACCTTAAATTTAAAGTTGATTTTGGGGGGGTTTTTTCATCGTAGTTTATTTTTTCAACCTTTGATTTTAGATCGTTAAAAACACATATATAAAATTTTTATTCATAAATTTTTTTTCGTTTACAAATATGCCATTTGGCTTATCCCAAACGATGAGGCTGTAAATTAAACTGCAGTTAAAATTTTTCCCATTTCATATCGGGTTAATTTCTTAGGGGAACTTTTTCTTTTGTTTTTGCTGAAGTTTATGATGACTAGTGGATGAAAGCCTTCGTTACATTCTTTTCCCTCCTAAATTCATGACATTTTGCTGAGAGTTTATACTCAGCCCCTAGACCACAGGAAATGCTCTCATAATTAATCCCAGTGCAAAGATAGAGAGAATCATAGAGTACAGAGATGCGTATTAATACCAGTGTTGCCAACAAAACTGGGACCGTATTAATGATGCAGAGTAATTAAAGCTAGCAGCAGGAACAAACAACAAATGCTAAATGTCTCTTGGAATTAAACAGGCACAAGACAGAAGGAATTATATTAATACCTAGATAAATTATTCATCGAAAAAGAAAGCCCTAAGACGTTGCCCTCTGAACGCAATTGCTGACCAGCCCGACGGCACACAACCTCCGAGCCCAAAAACATATCACAAAATACAGACACAAATACATATACATATATGCACTAACAATTAATTATGCAGAAAAGTGCCAAGATTATCCAAGAAGAAGACACCGAAAGCACCCTGTTTAATTGATCTAATCGCTCATCTCTCCGTACTCTCCGTTGGGAGCATGATGATATATACCTTAACCAGCAACATGATATGCAGTTTTCTAGTCCGAAATGCCAGGGTGTTCTTGACGCTAATTTAATCATGCGTTGAAATTAATCAGCTAACCAATGCATGGCTTGATTATTAGTTAGCCTAATGCATGGTCATCGATGACGTAGCAAAAACTGCTATACTCTCGATCTCCCAGCTGCTAGCGTAGAATCGCATGGGGTCGAGTACGTCCAAGGAGAGAAGAACACAGAAGAAACTTCCGTGGAAGCTTCCATTTTGGACGAATTAATTAGTTCAGGATACTCGATTTTATAATATTATATAAATTGAGAAGTATTTTATATTATAGATTAGTAATAAATTAATTAATCAGACAGGGGGTCGGTGCACATGAGAGACAGCAGCAAGGCAAATCTAATCTACCTGGATCACGCGAAGGGCAGAGGGATTTATGGGCTCCGACACGCACAACCTAGCTAATGTACATGCATCTAGTTTAATTTGGCAGCATGAATAAATATATAATTATATATGTACAGCACTAGTGTTGCTGTTGTTAGGCCTAGCTTGTTTTTCCTGTGGGCTGTGGCGACGACTAGGGTTTTAGACACATGAAGGATCTAAGAAATATCCTATAATCCCATTGTTAATTTATTTTCATGTTTTTCTGCCAACATTTTATTTTAAAAACAGCATTATTTCTGTTTTTTGTATTCATATAATGTGTGTTATATTGGACCACAAATTTAGGTCAAAAAGTCATTTTAACAATTAATATGGCGTAGGGGACTGATCGATGAGACAAATGGTTTTGGTGTGTGGTGGAATTATAAGTGAGAGTTTCTAGCTTCCTCAGTGTCATGACACTGACATATCTACATATATGCATGCATGCACATATATATTATGAAATGCTGCTGATCTTGCCTAGAAACAACGTGTGCCCTGCTAATTAAGTTCTTTCGGCATGATATAATAATTAATTTAAGTGGGGAGGATCTTCTAAACTTGCACTTTACGAACGATTGTATCAAGAAGTAGCAAGCACATGACAGACTGGATTAGGGAGAGAAAACGGGGATATATAACCTTTTTAAATTTAATGAAGGTTTGAATTGAGTCTACGTCGATCCGCCGGTTACGTACGAACTTAATGATAAAATAAAGCGTGTCAACAATAGTCCTATGGTGCAAATTAATGATTACTTACATGTTATAATTAGCTAGCTTGATGGCATCATGATGATATAGTATGTTCATTTCCTACTTTGTAGAATATATATATCACTCCTTATGTTTTTAAATGCATAATATTATTAACTTTTGAACATAATGTTTAACCATTCATTTTATTCAAAATTTAGTGTGAATATTTAAAAAATATAAATCATGCTTAAAATAACTTTAATTATAAAACAATTCAAAACAAAATAGATGATCCTTACATAATTATTTTTAATAAGACGATTGTGCAACAATGATGTTCAAAAGGTAACAACTTTGTATATTTGAAAAATAGTAAATAGCTAAAAAGAAGATACTCCCTCTGTCCCAAATATAAGTATTTTTAGATTTCGACACAGTTTTTGAGATGCTACATTGATCAACAATATCTATAAAAATAAGACGTTTTAAATAAAATGAGTTGTATATTATGATACTTTATTGAATGATACATCTAGTAACATCAATTTTACATGATTGATGTTTTTTTTTACTTTTTTCTACTAATAGTTAAAGTTAAAAATCTTCGTCTTTACATTATTCTAAAAATGCTTATATTTTGGGACGGAGGAAGTTTTTTTAAGAGGAAGCTGGAAAGAACATATTGATAAACTTAATTTTACACATTAATAATCATGCTGTTTTAGGAATGGCAAAATGAGTGATTGGAATCGTTTAAAGAAAACGTGCTACCTATTTCGTTAAATTAAAGAGACCTGAAGTCGTCTATGCTTGCTGTACTGCATATTCGTTTGACTACTGTCGGTCTTGCATTCTTACTACTGTTGTTGGAAAATTTGAAGATAATGGAGTAATAATGTTCGGGGATTTCTGGTCAAAGATGGGTACAGTTCGTAGGTTACTGCATTTAAAGGCCCAATTAATCAGCCAGCTGCTAGCCTGCGTGTAGCTAGGACGCACTCGTGCGTCCGTACGTACGCTTGTACGGGTCACACCGCTAGGGCAAACTCCCACGTGCGCCGGCGGCCAGCTGACATGGACGCTGTAGTGTTCATCTACTAGTACGCGTGACACTTTTCAAGATGTACTTCCCGTTTTAAATTATTTGCATATAAACCATGGTTATTCTCACTAAACACACCCCTTTTAAACCATTTGAATTGGACAAAAAGTAGAGGAAAAAAAGAGCAATTGAAATCATATACTCCCTCCGTCTCAAAATGCTGGACGTTCTAGAATGATTGAGCCAAATTAGTTTTGAGTGAAAATGAACTACCACATCTACTACTTAATGGATTAAACTAATGTAACCGGTCCAATCAATTCAAAACATTTTTATGGATGTTTTTCTAGAAGTTCGTAACTGTGTGCTGTTGGGGAAGTACAGCGTACAATGTCAAAAAATATGGGACATTTGCTTGCGAGCAGAATGACCTCCTTTGTGGGACGGAAGGAGTACTAGGAAAGGTTACCGTTCATGCATTTGATTCGAAAGAATGAGGAAAAGAAAAATATACTCCCTTTATCTTTAAATATAAGAGATTTTGGTTTGATGTGACACATCTTAGTACAATGTATTTGGACATGATTATATCCAGATTTATTATAATAAGATGTGTCACGTCCAACTAAAATCTCTTATATTTAGGGCTCGGATGGAGTAGAAAGCTTTCTTGTTCCTATGATTCTAAGGGAAAAAATTGACATCCAAACTAATTAAACTCATGTTTTTCTATATCGCGTAGGATCGAGATAAAATCTAGTAGATCTTGGTCACTTATTTATTCAATTAGTGCAGGTTAGATATGTATAAGTAGATAATTAGTCCAAATATATTACACCATCTTAAAATATAACAAATTCGAATATTTTTTTTGCGGGGAACAAATACGAACATTTAATACTCATTTCAGAATATAACATGTTAAATCTCAATCAATCTTCTTTCTCATCTCAACCCACCACAACCATTACAATTTATATCCACTTGCTTTCCTAATTTTCACATGAAACTTTAGAAATGCTTATATTTTAGAATGGAAGGAGTGTCAAAAAAGTTCTTAAAATTTACATTTAAGATTTTTAGCTTAAAAAAATAAACTGATGCCATCACCGTCCATTTGTTTAGTACCACAACTACTTGGAACCATACTGACATGGTTGAGATATAGAGAGAATACTTAATTAGCTTGACCTGATGAAAGAAACATGAATTAATTGGATATCTGAGCAAAATTAATGGATTGGATTAGAGAGTCAAATCATCTAATATATCCGCTCGGAAACAAAAACATCAATATATTCACATGCATCAGCTGCTCTATATAATTAAGCAGCATTACACGCTCCTCCTCCTCAGTTAAGTGGTACTACTCCCTTCATTCCAAATTGATATACATATTTCATGGTATATCAAGACCAAGAAAAACTAATAAATCTCTCATACTATATTTACTCTAGCAACAAACTCGATGCATACACCATTCTCACTATTTCCTAGCCAATAGCAAATCAAGATATTACATGTGGGTTATAAATACTTGTATGCATGGATGCATGCATCAATGTCCATTTACTCCAATGTACAAATAACGAATAGACTTAATGAATGAACACAAATATGTAGATCATTTAGGAATAACTTCAAAAAAAACTATATGTAGATTAATTTGGAATGGAGGGAGTACTAAGTAACATTAATTATTGATCGATTAAAAAGGGTGTCAGAGATGATGTAAACTGGACCTGACAGGAATCCAGCTTGGCCAACAACTATTCCAGCTGTGCTGACACTGTGCATTATCTTTTTTTTTCTGTGATCTTGAATTAATCACAGGCACCGATCGATCAAGATGCGGACATGTATGCATGTATATATATACTCCATATACATTTTATTATTATTATTTTGAAAGAAATACACTTCATATACAATTATACATGGCTGGCTTGATTTTGATGGGTGGCTGATAACCCTGACATGATACGCATTGCCCTTTCCCTGCTGCTATATGAAACCGTAGTTACAGATCGTAATTAAAGAGACCCAAGCCGCATATATTTGTATGATAACTACATATTTTCTAGATGGTAATCAATCAGGCTCGTATATGCCATGTCATGTCATGGATTGTGCTTCGATCGGCATTCTCACTGATTTCCTGCAGAGAATCATGAACTTGTCGGTGTCACCAGCAAAACAGCTGAAGTAGAACAGTAGGCAGCCAGCAAGCAGTAATCCATGTGCATCATTCGTTTGTGGATGCAATGAGTTAGTGTCGATGGACAATTGGGCATGACCTAACCAAGAAGAGATTATGGTGTGCATATACGTGTGATCATGGATTAATTTGTTGTCAAAATTTTCTATATAAAAAAGGAAGATTACACTGTAACCTGCTTTCATCAAGTACAGAAAATAAAATTCTGAACAATGTTTCTTCTTCTGGGGCATGAACAGAGGTGGTCAGGACTGTTAACTGTTTACCTAGTATGTTCTTGTTCAGATCCTACAGCTAATCAAGTGTAAGTGGATATGATATCTCTGTCTATGACTATCGGGAATGAGGCGTCACATGGACGACCCGACCCAACGCAGTGCTGCTGACTGCTGGAGAAGTTAGTTGCATTGCATGGTGTCCTGGATTGGGATATCGATGAAACTGACCGGAAACCTCGTCCGGCAATTAATTCGGTTTTTTCTTCTTAATTAATTGTTGCCTTTCCTGGAGAGTCAACACGCTCTTTCTAGGCAGCTACTCCTACGTGCGACCGAAATTTGCAGGACATTTAACCGTGGCCAAGCTGCCGGCTGATTAAAAGATTAGTTTACTGCTTGACTCGTAAGGACCGGGAGATCAACCAGAAGGCAATGCAGTGCTTATTACTCCGTGGTCAAACCGGCAGTTGGCCTCCTTTTGCCGACCAAATCCTCGCCAACTCCAAGCTGCTCCTACATATACACTGGTTGCTGGGCCACATTATCTTTACCGACCATTTTACTACACTGGTTGCTGGTTGAAGTACCATTTTTCTGTAGAGTACTTGATTGAAGGTGAGGTGAGTTGGCACGCCTATAAGCCTATTACTGATCCCAGTTCTTTTTTTTTTCTTTCTTCAAAACCCATTGATGTGCTACTATTTCTATATTGTACTGGACCATGCGCGGTCATGGTCGGTTCCAGCTTCTCAATTGACCTTTCAACATCTGTATAAATTTCCTTTTAGCAGTGGATCATTTTGCGCTCATCACATTCATATGTTGCATAAGCATAACTGCATCAGCGCCGGGCCGTCCAATTGGCATTTGCATCGTCGTTCATCGTCTCCTGGTTTCGGCCTGCGAACGATCCAAATCCTCAGCTACGTTTGCGAAAGCTACGACTACGCGTCTAAGCGAGGAACAAAACAAAATCAGTGCCGCCACAAACCAGGAGATCATGTGAATAGCAGAGTTTTGTGAGGTCTAATTTTGTGAGGCAATGATCTTGGTTCCTTAAAGAAATTCCAGATCTAAAGGGCACCAAAAGAAGGGAAGATTGCCACATGTCACATCTCTCGAGTATATACCGATTTTAACTCCAGGTACATTGTTTGTATCAGAGAAAAAAAACTGTTCTTATTAACCAACAAAATAACCTCCAGATGATGAGTATGAAAAGCAGAATTGAGACAACTAGTAATCCTGACTTGAGTTCTTACATTAACAATGCCTGCTCGCCAATGGGGAAATCATTGGTAACGTTACAGGACCACAAAAGGCAATAACCAGTCACTTAAAATGGGCACGAGGTCAAAGAATATGATAAGTTGTTCGATGCTTCGACTTTTTATCTTCAGGATCCAACAATGAAAAGGAAATCCTAGAAGACCACACATCATTAACATTCCTAGAAGATCAGGATGGCCTAAAAATTCCGAAACATGGTTCAACCTAGTAACAAGAAGCAGTCATCATCGAAACATGGTTCAACCCAGTGCCCCGTTGGCATTTGGGTCCTAAGCTCCTCACCGGCTAACAGAAAGAGACCTCTCCCTGTCAGGTGACTTGCTGCGGCGGTCATCAGAGAGGCTTCTACTTCGTGATCTGCTGTCCGCTGGTGAGCGCGACAGAGATCTCTCCCGACGGGCAGGAGACCTGCTAAGATGGTAAAACATGTGAATGATTTTGTTGTGAATAAACTAATATAAACGTCCATGGAGGATACTGAAGTCAAACCTTGAATAGTGCTTTCTCTTAGGTGCAGGTGAGTAGCTTCGACTACGGGACCGTGATCTTGGAGAGTACACAGGTGACCTTGAGCGGGAGTATCTAGGAGAGCGCGACCTGCGATCATAAGAACGGTCCCTGCTACTGCAGAAGATGAACAAACTGGTTACATATGCCACAAAAGAGATAATACTTTAACAAAACAAAAAACATTAGAGAAAAAGGATGAAAGAGAGCAGTGCAATACCCGACTCTTTCCCTAGCCCTCATCTCAGATGGTTTCTTTCTGTTCTCCTCAGCAAATACAACAGTAACTTCCCTGCCAAGAAGAATTTGCCCATCCATGTGGTATTTTGCATCAGCAGCATCCTCAGGATCATAATATTGGATGAACCCAAATCCTCGAGGCTCCCTGTTACAGATAACAAGATTTAGCTTTAATTAATTGCACAATTCTGAACAGTATACAAGAAAATCCTGAAAAGGATACTTGACTTTAGTCAAGTAAAGGAACAATTGATTATTCATATCCTTGAACCTTGATTCCTTTCCCTGGATGTTGATACACAAATTTTTCAACAGATAAAGCAAGCACTAGGCTGCTGACCTTGTACTCATCAGAGTTTAAAGATAGACTTGAAACTCTTCATAACTTGCATATCTCTTATACTCTATTTCTTCCCTTCTCTTCAACAGAGTACTCTTAAGGCTTGTGTCTTCAAAAAATTATTTTCACAGTTAATCTTAAGAGGTGGGCAAAAATCATTCAATTTAGGTGTACCAAATGTACTAAAGCACAAACAAACATTTCCAAAGCACATGTTTAAGCCAATTGCAAATGAATCCAAAAATAGCATATTACTGGATTGAAAAAATATCACAGCATCCTAAACATCTCATGGTTTGATCCCTAAACAGCATGTAGGCCTCCAGTTGAAAATGAACACTGGCTCTATTTGAGTTGAGGTGCCTTACCCAGTGTAATAATCTCTTGGAAGATATATATCTTTGACACGACCAAATTTTCCAAATGGTCTTCGTAGATCATCAGGCCTGTATTCATAATTATGTCTAAGGTAAAGACATGCAACATGGAGAAAGTGGTAAAATAGCATTGAAATTAAAAGACATGAAAAGGCGAGAAATCCTTACAGTTACGAACTTCTGTAAATCAAATATATAATATCCAACAGATGACAATAATAACACAGGTTACAAAAAAAATCCTTAGGAAAACAACAAACATTTACTCATTTGCCTTATGTCATTACAACAGAAGAACAATGTTTAGATTTACACTCCAATCTGTTTTGCGCCAAAGCAATGCTTCTTTGGTTTATAAGTGATGACTAAATGAATTTTGGCATTGCAAACCAAGCTCATGAGCTGTATGCAATAGAAGCTCAAGATGAAAAATAATTTACGGATTTAAAAAATGCACATCAGTAGTATTATAATTTTATAAAGAGACATTATCTTGGCCCAAATGATGATGAATTGCACCAACTCAACTACAACTAGTGTAACCGGAATGTGTGATTGCATGTGTTACTTAACAAGAAAACACTCATTCAGTTACTGACCAAGGTGCAAAGAAACTTACCTACAGTCACGGCGAAGATTCCTCACCAAAAGACTAGTTGGGAGATCCCTGTCACGGCCTCCATAGCGCCCACGAGGACTTGGGCTGCGGGCTCTTCTCCTGTATTCTCTTGGCGGTGATGGACCATAATCATAGCCTCTTCCCATAGTGATCTAAGCTTACAGGAAAAAAATTGCCATTAGAGGAAATTCAAATGATGCGATTGTGTTTCATAAGCTACTCGTTCCGCTAAAAAGAACAATGCCAACAGCAAGTGACCTTATCAACAAGACTCATTCTTCCATTCAGCTATTTTTAGCTAAAAAGGTTCGGTAGATGCTGGTAGGGAATAAAACAAGCTACAACATTTCAGCATTCGAGAAAAATAGACATCACAATATATTTCTATGCATCAAATAATTGCCACTCCCAATTTACATCCATCAATGGTAAATTTAAGTAGTGCCTTGAACGCACACAAGGCATTCAAGACTTAAGAGTCGTCAACTTAATAATCTATAAGAACTATTAACTGTATTGTTAACAATGGTTGTGAATGAATACATAACATCTTCCGTACTGATGAAATGATTAGAAGCGTTCAATAGCATACTTTATATATCAATCAAGTTTAAGTATAAGAAATAACTGTTGTGAATGAATGCATAACATCTTCCTATGGCATCTAAATCAAGAGTTAGAAAAGAATATGAGCACGCCGCCAATCCACACAGCTGTCGATCATTGCCATTCAATCCCACCAGCAAACACTCCATCCTTCACACCGCCAAGAACACCCAAACCCTAGCGAAAAGGAAATCCCACGCAAACCGCAAAACATAACCAAATCAGGCGACGCAACCCCCTCGAATCGGCCCGCCGCTCACAAAACCGGCCTCAAAGACACCACCACCCTCCAAGCAAACGCTGCAGCCTAACGGGCGGCATCACACCGCAACCACACCGCGCGGTGGAGCGAGCTAGGGTTTCCCCGATGGCGCGCGGCACACAACGACGTGTATGTAACACGCGCGCGCACGAATCAACCATCAAACCGCATCAAATCCCGCGACCAATACAAATCCAAACCTAGAAATCTCCTCACCGGCGAAGGAGAAGGAGGAGAAGGGGAACGGGGGGATAGGAATCTCGACTCGCGAATCGGATGATGATTACCTTTCCCGCCTAGGGCTTGGAGGCGCTTCGCCGCTCCTGGGTTCGTCGCCTCCAGATTTCCAGAAGCTTCCGGATGTTGCGCGGAGGGGGAGGGAGAGGAGGAGCGCGGAGGGGGAGGGGTGCGTGCGTGCCGCCTTTGGCTTTAATGAGGGGAGAGATGTCGCGTGGACCGTTGGATCCGGGGGGGCGGGGATTGGACGGTGGATGCGGGAGGTGACGCCGTGACGGGTAAGATGGGCTGTACACAAACGGGCTCTTGTTGGGCTTTGATCTGTAGAGAAATTTGGCCCATGACGGTATGTTTTCTCGCTTTCCAGTTTCGACTACTTTCTTGCTTTCCCATTTCGGTCTGGTTCATTTTCTCTTCTCTTTTTTTGTCTTTCGAGTTTGGTAGAAGTATAAATTTTTCCTTCTCAGGAAAAGTTTGGCATATTTTTCCCCTCATGAAAAAGTTTGGTATGTTTTCTTTCTTTGACTTTCTCCCCTCTTTTCTTTGTTTCATACCATATTCTTTTTTTTTCCCATTTCTGCCTTTTCCATCCTCTCAATCAGTATTGTTCCTTTTTCTCGTTTTACAACGCCTTCTTTGTAACAAATGAATTTTCTCAGCTCCTACAGGGGGTTAACCTCATTTCGCTAAAACTCTTACGTTTGCTGAAAATGGTCTAAACACACTAGCAGAAAATAGAAAACAAAGGTTCCCATCATAAGCCAAACGGCATATTTGCAACAAAGAGTAATTTTTTAATAAAACTGTTAGATTAATGGGTTAGGCCCAATTAAATCCTAATAAATTCCATTGGCCCACATTAAGTGCTATGGGTAATAATACCACCTTAGAAATATAAGTGAAGAGGTCTCAACTTAAATACAGAGCTAGTGGAGAGTCTCTATTGATGGTGCGCGGACAACCAGGCGGGGTGAGGCAGATAGCTATTGCTGCGCTCTCTCGTTTTGTAACGGACGGTAATAAACACGGAGAATTGATTTCGTATCAATGAACGCGAATTAAACACACGGAGAATTGATTTCGTATCAATGAACGCGTTGGTTACGGAATTAAATGTCATGAATTGACGATAATAAACACGGAGAATTGATTTCGTATCAATGAACGTGTCGATTACGGAATTAAACATCGTGAATTGATTCCGTCGGTTACGGAATTAAACACACGGAGAATTGATTTCGTATCAATGAACACATTGGTTACGGAATTAAATGTCGTGAATTGATTCCGTCGGTTACGGAATTAAACGTCGTGAATTGATTCCGTATTAACGAGCGCGTCGGTTACGAAATTAAACACCGTGGTTGATGATTCCGAACGTTACTCCCACGCTCGTATATATATACTCCACAGCGACTAGAAGGACGAAAGAAGTTCTTCCCGACCTCTCTTGCACTTCGAGTTCCTCCTCCTCTGTTCTTGAGCTGTAGAATCCTTCCCCGGTTCTGTTCACCTGCGCGCTCAGGTGTACGGGATGAGCAGGTGCCTCCGAAACTCCGTCCGCTTGAGAACCTGTATGGGTAGGCGGGCGATCAAGTTTTTGGGTAACGCTTCAAGCGCGACTGCTCTTGTTCTTCACGGCTACTGCTGCTGCATCGACGCCTTCACCAAGATGTCGACGGAGATTGGAGACAAGATGATGAACGACATCAACGGAGGCAATCCTGCTTCAAAATCCAGCGGTGGGATGTTTTCGGGGTATACTTTCATTCTCCCGATTCTATTAGATGTTTCTTTGTTAATACTCTTCGCAATGGCAGTATTGTGTTACTATGTAAATGTTGATGCTTATTTCATATTAAGCATACTCAAGCTGTATACATCTATCACTGTCACTAGATCTACTCATATTGCAAATGTCATGTTTATTGTCTTAATATTTTGGATTAAAATATGCCGAATTATGACCAAATTTCCAACAAAAACTTTTATATACGTGTTCTTAGCGATCTAAAAGTAAAGGTTAGAAATAAACTTCGATAAAAAAAATCCCAACATCAGCTTCAAATTAAATGTTGAAAATTTAAAATTTAAGTGAAAAGATGAGGCCGAAAATAACGAAACCTTAACTTTACACTTATCCACCACAAAACTAAAGTTTTAGAGAGAGAACAGTCGAGACACGGCTACCGGGCGCCACACCGCCATTTGTCCATCACCGGCCAGCAGGTCGAGAACCAACCCAAGCAAAGCAATCGAGCCATGTGCATCGATGTGTGCAGAATGCAACGACCCATGTGTACATAGAGGCTAGGGAGAGATTGAGCCAAAGTTTCCTTTGTTCCTAAGCTATGATTGATGGATCTCTGCAGAAAAGCCAACGAATTGAAGAAGTGTATATCAACAATACATATGATGATGCAACGTGTGCCGGCTCCTTTTTCCTTGTCACAAGATAATGTTTTACTTAATTACGTGCTCCGTGCTGATGAGTGCGACTGCATTTGAATCCACGTATGGTGTCGCAGGGGTGATCCGGTGATGTACAACTATGTTCTTTTCGGCCAAAGTGTGTCATCGAGTTTCCAATGGCCATATATAACGTTGATACTTTTGTTTGTTTGATACTTCATCCGTTTTAAAATAAATTAGATTATCCCCATCAGTTGCTTATGACTTATAAGCCATAACGAGCTATTAACGATTAAAAAAAATACATGAGTAAAATTTCTGTGTGTGTATATATATATATATATATATATATATATATATATATATATATATATATATATATATATATATATATATATATATATATGATACACATATGGGACTCCATGGTGCTCGGGCTCCAAGATATAAAACACACAAATTCTCTCAAATTTTTTAAAATTTTTAAATTGTGAGTATATACCTAGGTATATGAATTTGATTCATACAAATACCTAACAACAAAACAACTCAAACTCAACTTTATTTCACAATTCATTATTACATACCTAACGAATTATATGTTTGGATGTTATATACCTAGAACCAAAATCTAACAAAAAAAAAGTTCAAACTTGTTTGAACTTGTTAGTAAAGAAGTTGATGTTCATATCTAAACATTTAAAAAAATTTCATACTCATTTAAATTGGGTATATACTCAATTTGAATCTTGGAGCCCATACTCCATGTAGCACCAGTTAATTTACCTATATATATATATATATATATATATATATATATATATATATATATATATATATATATATATATATATATAATATGTTCTTAGCGACTTAAAAGCTAAAATTGAAAAAAAAACTATGTTAAAGAACATCAAAATCAAATTGAAAATCAAGTTTTAAAATTTAAATTTTGGCTCTGACTTATAAGCGATAGGACAACCAATGAGACCCTTAACTTTTACGCAGGAGTATAATGTATTGGGAACGTGCAGTGTATCAGAATAAAAATGGGTGGTAATCTTGGACCCTTAGAATGATGACGATTTTCTAATGCAGGTTGCAGGATATAGCCGGATAAAAGAACGGCGAAATCTAGTCGGTTTTTGTGTGCCGTGCATCAGCGCATGTGAGAAACCCCGTCAGCAGGTCCAAAGCGCGACGCATCAAGCACTCTCTGTCGACTACTTGTCGAGGCTTATCCGTCCCCAATGCAGCACAAAGCAAATTCCACATTGCGTCTCTTTTAGTTGCCCCTTTTTGGTGCAACTAGATCGGCTCATCGGCGCAAAGCAGAAGCAGAAGCAGGGCACCAACGAAATGCTACCTTATCATGCATTGGGTGATTAGCAAAAAAGCAGTCGGCTAATGACATGGCAAATTAGACTCTCTTTTGCTTTTGAAGCCTCAAGAAAGATTAGAGAGGGACTAATTAATCAATCAATCGATTGCTTAAGGTTAATTACTCGGCCGGATGAAAGAGTATCAGTTAAGTTTGGTTGGAAGATAGTACTGTAATGGATATGCCGTTCAGCTGAAGATGGATCACCTGTTTTGAAGTCCGAAACTCCCAAGTCGTAGCCAGATGTTACTGTCCGGCCGGTTTGACCAGATGCTTCTCTTGATGTTTCGGTTAGGGGTTGGCACCCAATCACACCTGTCAGGCAATGGCTCCGATCCTTTTTGGCATTGCCATGTCACATCAGCATGAGATCCATGATATACTGTTGTTAAGAAATTGCATCTCTGAATTTATATCAGCCTAGATAACTTCAAAGTACAAGCCAAAGAGCAATCAGCTCCATCACGTATATTTACAAATGAAAAATAGTTTGTGAATAAAATTTTCATATACACGTTCTTAACGACTTAAAAATAAAGACTGAAAAATAAACTACGATGAAAAAAAAACCTAAAATCAACTCTAAATTTAAATTTTAGCTAACAAATATAAACATAAATAGAACGATGAGACTGAATATTTGTATGTAGGTACCAAAATTTTATATTGTAAAATCCATCCCAAACCTAACTGAAGACTAAGATGAAAGGCCTGTTCACTTTGATGAAAAAAAAACCTTACCAAATTTTAGCATTACCAAAATTTTAGCAACTTGCCAAAATTTTAGCAGGATTTCTTATATAGTTACCAAAATTTGGCAGCAAACTAAATGTAGCCACTTTTTTAACAATTTTATTAAAATTTGCTAAGGTTAAAAATGGCACCAAAGTGAACAGGCTCGAAGGCAAAGCATGCCGTCTTGGTCAGACAATTCTCGATCCGTCGGTATACTATCCGGCAGAAAGAAGCAAAGCATGCAATCTACAGTAGTGGCAGGCAGGCAGGCAGGCCGGCGCCCAAGTGCAAACCAAACACGTTTCAGTTTCACTGACGAGATAAACAGAAGATGTCGCTGCATGGATGGTGTGTCTGCGTGTGTACGCCGCCGCTGCTCATCTACTTCTCCTTTCTGGTTTCCTTTTCTCTTCCTCTCTCTCTCTCTCTTTTTTTTTTGGTCCAACGCCTCGTAGCCATCTTCCGGGGCCACCTTTGTCACCGATGATAGCGTCGTTTAGCGTGCGTCATTACCGTACTAATTGAATATTTGATGGAGAGATTAGCTTGCGTATAAAATGGCAGTCGCCTTGCCATCACTCTGCTCCTCCCTGCTCGGTTCGCAGCTGCAGCTTCAGCTTCAGTTGCTATCTGCTGGCTGGCTCATCAGCTCCAAGAACACAGTAACAGAGGAGAGTGCTTAGCATAAATTAGCGGCAGTTCCGAGGCCAGGCTTTTCGTCCGGGCGAAGCGAAACGAGGAGAGATCCGAGGCTGCGAGCTGGGAGAGCTCTCTGCTACTCCCAGGTACATACAGCCATCAGTGAAATTCCAGTTGTTGCAGCATGAAATCATTCGTTCGTTCATGGTGATTTACTCTGTTGTTTCTGCTTCTTGTTTCTGTTCCTCTCGATCGTCGGGTAATCGATCGTGTTGCCCGGTTTCTGTATTGCTATCTGCTGAATTATACTAGTTCATCCTCGTTATGCTAGCGTTGTTAATTCTTATCAGTATGATCTAACCTTTTCTCAATTTCAAATTTATTGAGCTTCATTTCTCCTATCAATCAGCTGGCTACTTCATGTGCGATATTCATATTCTGTCAGTCAAAGCGTTTAATTTGGAGCGATTTTATTTTCACTGTAAAAATCCTCGTAGAGCTTTGCATGGGATTCTCGCATACCCAATAGGCTACTTGAATCCGAGTTGTCCGTATTACTGTTACTCCACCAATTTAAACTCGTAGTATATTTCTAGCTGGAAATTTTGTGATGATTATTTCATTTCACTCTCGAGCATCAATCAGTGACCTTGACGCTTAAAGCAATACTACTGAAATTGATGAAGATACGAGAGCTACGGGATTAAGTAGAGTACTTTTAAAAGTTGTTTCTTTTTTATCATATCATATCTATCCTTTGATGGGGATAGCTAAGCACTTAATCCGCTAATCCTGATTACTACTGATTTTTTTTAGAGAAGGGTATTTTTTACCCGGGCTCTACATCCAACCAGATATAGACAATATTTTTAAATTAGGAACCTATCAAATAGAAAATATAGCCCTCAAATAACTCAATCTGAAATTCGCTCATATGAAGATTTGAAGTCAGAATCTTGGGGTGCTACTACTAAGATAAATTTTACGGTACTTGAGGAGGTACTATGAGGTACCACTTTTCTATTATAAATTAGGAAAGTGGCCCGCGCGTATGCGCGGCACTTATATTATTGAAAGGTAAAATTATTATTTATTCAAAAATTTTGTCTTATAGATTAAGGGCAAACTAAAGTTCGGATAATGTTATTTTATAATAATTTAAGGGTTCTATTTTTCTTAAGGTATCTTAAAAAACCATTCAAAAACTTTTTCTTAAGGTATGAGTTTTAAATCATTTTTTTCTCGAGTAAATAAGAAACCATTGCTAGTTAATTATCATACAGTCCATCTATATATATACCGTATAGTATGGCCACAAATGAAAAATGCGAGAGCAAGATACTCAAAATTCTTGTGATTAAATCGTCTCAAGAAGGCGCATGATATAGTAAGAAAGGGAGGGAAGTGTATGCATGGAAAAAAAGAAAAAAGGGAAAAAAGAAAAAAGGGAGGGGAAGCGTACATAACCATGTACGTAGGTGTATACCTATGACACGGGACGAGAGGTGAGACCTTATAGTATTTTGTTTTTTTAAGATCAATTTAATCTAACGGTTTATAATATTGGACGTACCGATTAAGTGAAAAATCAAGTAATGGATACTTTGATTTTTTTCCCTTAGAATTTCTAATACGTGGCAGCTTGAGAGCGTTTTAAGAAATTTTAAAGGACTTAACACATGTAATAAGAATATTAACCGCTTAATATATATATGTATAGGGCATATGGTAATATTTGTTCTAGCTTCGTGCATGTTTATATACATGTTGAGAGAAATTAATGATGTGGCTAGCAAGCCATTAGATGTCTAATTAGTAGCAATTAATTTTGACACCGATTACAGTTGTTCATAGTAGCTCTTACATATTCATCTTACGACTTTGATTATCAGTTGATCCCTAATTTACTGATCACCATGACTCGCATAAAAAAATATGTACTACTTAGGGTTTAGGACAGCTGAAATTGATGAATTATCTTATTTATGTGATAGCTATTTGAGGGTATAAACGAATAAATTGACTTATAAAAAGTTAAAATGTTGTTTAAAGAGACGCCATTTAGAAACTTGGAAAGCGTGCAAACGAAAATCCAACTATGAAATCAGGGAAAAAAAGAGGATCTTAAACTCCTTTATAACACCCTAGTCTTTGTAAGAGTGCTATTGATATTCATTAATATTGTGCTCACATTTATAACATAATGAATTCTTTCATCTATACGAACAAATAGTGCAAAATCCAAATACGACATAACACAATACGTTATAATTATTCTGTAATCAACTCTCGGTTTCAGCTTAAACAAAGCTAAGTGTTAGAAAAAAAACACAACCCACAGTGCTTAATTCTTCTCTCGCTGCATCACACCTTTAATTTTTTTTTCATGTTATTGACAAAATTAATCATCTCCATATATGATTTGATATGTGGCAAAACGGTAGTGCCAGACATGATGCTTTGTCATGCGTGCAAAAGGTAAAGGTGCAGATGTGCATTGTGCAGCGGGCAAAAAAAGAGAACTTCGGACGTTTTATTTATTAGCAAATAATATATCAAATGATTTAAATAATGGGTCCACCGGTTATAGTGTAAGTGTACATTAGTTAATATATATTTTAAATTGTTAATTTAATAGGTACATAATATAATGGTGTAGACTTTATTTTGAAACCATGCATTATTTGAGAATAATAGTCCAATGTAATAAAAAAATAGTTCCGATAATTTAAGTAATGGGTCCATCGGTTTAAGTGCACGTATAAATCAATTAATATAGATCTTAAATTGTTTATTTGATAGGTACACAATATAATTGTGTAAACTTTATTTTAAAATAGTGCATTATTTGAAAATAATAGTACAAAATAATGAATACACATGTTTAAGTGGAAACTATATTACATTATTAATTTAATGGTCACATATAATGGTTTAAATTTTATTTTCAAAAATTGTAGAGCTAATTTAGTTACCAGTGAGTTGTATGATGGTAGATTCTTTGTGTTGTAAATTTATGATTATTTAAAAAGGTATATATCCATATTATATAAATGGAAAAGAAGAAAAAAAAAGAAAAGAAAAGAAGGGTGTACATACATGGTACGTACGTATATATATACCCACGTACACATGCACGGGAGAAGGAGGAGAGGTGGGACCCCATAGTATTTGGTTTGTTTTAAGATTAATTTCATTTAACGGTGTATAATATTGGACCCACCAATTTAAGTGAAAATCAAGGGATAGATGTTTTGCTTTTTTCTTAGAATTTCTAGGATTTTCTCTAATTTATTAGAGTGCCACGTGGCAGCTTGAGAGCATTTGTAGGAAGTTTAATGGACTTTTATGATTATTTAAAAAGGTATATATCCATATTATATAAATGGAAAAAGAAGAAAAAAAGAAAAAAAAAAGAAAAGAAGGGTGTATGTACATGGTATGTACGTGTATATATATATACCCACGTACATATGCACGGGAGGAGGAGAGGTGGGACCCCATAGTATTTGGTTTGTTTTAAGATCAATTTTATCTAACGGTGTATAATATTGGTCCCACCAATTTAAGTGAAAATCAAGAGGTAGATGTTTTGCTTTTTTCTTAGAATTTCTAGGATTTTCTCTAATTTATTAGAGCGCCACGTGGTAGCTTGAGAGCGTTTGTAGGAAGTTTAATGAACTTTAGTATATAATAGATAGATAGATAGATTTGGTATCTCATAGTACCTAGGTATCAAAATGTACCAAATTGTAGTAATTCACGTTACATTCTCAATAACCGTAAAATTATTTACTACTAATAATTGTTTTAGCTTAGGAAATTGTTTTGGATCATTCATGGTCAACCCAATAAGACGCGGACACTTGGCTTCAAGACTAGCCTAGTTCGTGTCGCTCTGCCGATGACACCAGGCAGCGGTGATCGATCAGATCACCGGCTGGGTCCGGCGAATTCAAGTCCATCTTCTTCTTCTTCTTCTTTCTTCGATGTGTGTCGTGTCGCATCTCAATTATTTTCCCTGCTTAATTTCTTCATGACGTCGCCATGTAGGACTAGTAGGGTTGTTTGGTGAGTATACGGTTCCATCTCTCGAAGCATCTCCAAGGCTACAATGTATGGCCCGGCCGACCTCAGATAACGCAGCATCCGTATTATGAATATTGCTGTGTTTGTTCTGTTCTGTTCTGAATTCTGATCCAACAACGTCCCAACTACCGGACTTATTCAGAGGACATGGAACTTCTCGCTGAATCGGCTGGAAATTCCATATCCGGACATGCTTTCTTTTCAGATTCGTTGTACTATGAAGTATATGTCCTATTCGATACTAGGTTGCTATATTACTAAGTAGAAAATCATCAAAACAATGCATGGGGCTGGTTGACATGTATTGTTCTTATAGAGTTGGCATGTAATTGCTAAGGGTTGTGTGAACAATGATGGAGAATTTGATAGGAACTTTTTTGTAGGATTTTATTATATTGTAGTCTTTTCCTTGCAAGTCCTTTAGCTTTGCTTGCACTTTGCAAGAGGCACTTTCTTTTGGGTATTCTTCTTCTTTTTTGCAAGGGGGTATTGCCCCATTTTCTTTTGGGAATTTTGTGCTTTAGTTCATGAGGATCTGGAAACAGGTCATTTTTCCCCTGACTCCAAAATGAGCATGCAATGATGCAAGCGTCCAATTGCAAATACTTTCTATAATCTTCTGGAATTCTCTGATGGTATTGCTAGGTTCAACAGGTCCAAGAGGTGCATCAAGAAGTTGCCCTTCCTGTAGCACCATCTATCATCAATGATGTTGGACAGAAGATGGCGGGGAACCATACTTTTGCTCATCTGTCTTGTCTGCAATGCATCAGGTATGTGCACTCTGTAGTAGCAAAAGTAGCATTATCATTTACTAATTAGTACTCCGTATCAGTTGTTCTCTTGTTAGTTTTTGCTTCAGTTTCAGTTAACAACAGAACCAGGTTCCTTTCTCACTTTCTTTTTCATCACTGAGATTCTTTACAAAAAAAATGAACATACATGCCTAAAGTGCAGAACATTATAGGAGACTTTTAAGCTAGTACAAAGTTTTCTGATATGCTTGTGCTTTTCCCCACTTTGCATGCCTTATCTTCAGTCACAAAAAGCATACGCCATACATGTGACATCTAGAAACTTATCAGTTATCTCATGCTTAAGAAATAGTAGAATGGTGCGAATAATATATACTTAGCCAATGATTTGTTTGATACAACCCAAATCATATCAGTCAGCTGTGAGAAAACAAACATTCAAATACTGAACACTCTGAAACCTGAACTGTAGCCAGTTCTGATCTTTCATGCAGCAGGTCATGTTTTCTTTCCCTGATGACAGCAAATGATTCCAGGGCTTCATGATCTAACACTCTTAATCTAACAAGAGTACTATCATTCTATGCATTATTTGTATGAACTATGAAGTGCACAACCATCATGTACTACAACCAAGTACCAACATGGATTAACAGGATTAAGTACTAGTCTGAACCAACTGTACTTTCATATCTTTCTGCACTTCGTCAGTAATCAGATATTCAGAATTCAAAACCATCTGTTGTGTTTGCCTGTCTTACACTAAAATTTTCTGCTCCAATCAATTACTAACATGGATTAACAGGATAAGTAGACTAGACTGAACCAACTGAACTTTTATCTTTCTGCACTTCGTCACTAATCAGAAATTCAGAAATCACCTGTTGTGTTTGCCTGTTCTACACTAAATTTTCTGCTCCAATGATGAGCAGGGACTTATGTTGGCGCCAACACGATCCCTTCGCCGGAGAACTCGCCGTCGGAGTTCGCCAAGATTGTTCAGTCTAAGCAGACGAAGCATGCGCGCGTGTTCATCGGCGGCGGGGACCATCGGTCGCTGCGATCGCTGGCGAACACCGGCGAGGAGGTGATCCTCACCGTGCCCAACGACCAGCTCGAGCACATGGCCGAGTTCCCGGAGGAGGCCGAGCTCTGGGTCGCCGCCAACGTCGCGCGGTTCCTCCCGGCGACGAGGATCACGCACGTGGTGGCCGGCGACGACGTTGTGGCCAGGTCACCGGGGAACGCGTACTTCCTCCTCCCGGCGATGGCCAACCTCCACGCCGCGCTCGCCGCGTCGCGCCTCGACGGCCGCGTGAAGGTGTCGAGCGCGGTGTCCGGCGCCGCGCTGCAGGCTCCCCCGGCGTGGGCCGCCGCCGCCGTGGCGGGCGGCCTCCTCCGGTTCCTGAACGCCACCGGCGCGCCGCTGTTCCTCAAGACCCGGCCGTCGGAGTCCACGGACACCATGGTCGACGCGGCCTACGGCGCGATGCGCGCGCTGGGGTTCCCCGGGGGCGCCATCCCGGTGATCGCGGCGCCGGTGGAGACAGAAGAATTCGGCGGTGGCGCGACGACGGTGGTGTACCACAGCTACCTGCTGCAGGCCTCCGGCGGCGTCGGCGGCGGCGAGAGGCGGTCGCTGGCGACGTCGGCGGGGATGTTCTGCGTGGCGCTGCAGAACGCGGACGCGGCGGCGCTGCAGGCGGGGCTGAACTGGGCGTGCGGGCCCGGGCAGGCGGACTGCGCGGCGATCCAGCCCGGCGGCGCGTGCTACAAGCAGAACAACCTGCCGGCGCTGGCGTCCTACGCCTACAACGACTACTACCAGAAGATGGCGTCCACCGGCGCCACCTGCTCCTTCAATGGCACCGCCACCACCACCACCGCCGATCCCAGTAAGCTCCATTTCTTCTGTAATACGGAGTATTTCACTCCCTCCTCGGTCACTGAATTTTTGCTGAATTTAATTTTTTTCTTCTTCTTTTGAATACTCTCAGGCTCAGGATCATGCGTCTTCACAGGAAGGTGAGTGAGCTCAAATGTGGAAATTCTTGAACAAATCAGCCACATATTACATTCATACGAGAGTAAATTTTACTTTAGACATGTTTTATTGCCGATATTTCATATTCGTCAATGAACTTCAATAGCTATATGTAACCACCATTTTTCAGCATATAATAAATTGGATATAGATTGATAAAAGAGTTGAAAATGATCTAGAGTATCATAAAGATAAAAATGTTAAATGTTTAAAGGATAGCTGAAAACGAAACGTGAATAATAAAAGATTGTTTGAAATTTAGCTTTTCAAATTAGCAATGCAAGAATGCGACAAGGATAAATATCATATTTATTTCTGTTTACTTTGTGCAGCTCGATGGCAGGAGGCTCGAACACGAGCGTGCCGGGAGCCAGCCCTCCGACGACGCTCTCCCCACCGGCGGGCCTCACGCCGCCGGTCGGCACCAGCCCACCGACCGACTTCAGCCCGCCGGCGGCCGGCACGACCCCTCCGGCCGGCGGCTTCACCCCGCCGGCGGGCGGCTTCGGCACCCCGCCGCTGGGCGGGTTCGGCACGCCGCCGTCGGGGTTCGGCCCGCCGGGGAGCTTCAACGGGAGCGGCTCGTCGTTCGGGCCCAGCAGCGCCTTCAGCCCGTACGGCGGCGCCGGCCACCGCGACGGCGGCGCCTCCGGCGCTCGCCTCGCCGCCGCTGCCCTCGCCGTGCTGCTCCTGTCCGTCGATCTCATGTGAAGTTCGTTTCTATTTGTGTAAATTTGGGAATCATGCGTTGTGATGTTGCTCTGAGAAATTGCTGGTCTCTGTAGGCGGCGGATTGAAATTATGCATACGAAAAATTAGGAGTTTATATATATATATGTAATTATGCATGTATAGTATATATACTTGATCAGCATGGACATTATCTAAAAAAATATGTGCTAGTCAGTCGCTGACAATTTCTGTTCTTCGACCTGTCAGTTAATGGTTATACATGTACATGCCACTAGCCTCACGCATGGTTGAGTTGGATCTGGAAAAAAACAATCTTTACATGATACTGAATTGGCGATACAAATATACAATTGATCCCGCATTTGAATATATGTTCCATAACATCTCAAAATTCCACTAAATACATAGTACAGTACAAGTATTTCTTCCATGTTTCATATTTTCCAGATGAACTCTGTCCAAAATGGTTCAGAGTTCAGTGCAGGAGGAGCATCTTGAAGTTGTAGATGATGGTCAGCGGCAACCACGGTGTTGAACATGAGGCACTGCTTGGACCTAGGAGCAGAGCACCGCCATGGACAAGCCAACGGAGCAGAGCACCGCACCGGCCTCCCCTTACAATGATTGAGCCAGCACCCTCGATGATGCCTGCAACAAAATTCTCATTAATTCTGGGAGCCCACCTGTAAATTTGCATGAGCTGAGCATGTCCATGTTAGATCAGTGTTGGGCCTGTATTTAGAGGCTCTCGTGGCATGTTTGCCATAAGGAAGAAGTCCACTTTACATTCGTCGTGTAAGGGTTGAGTTTCAATCACGTTGTCAACTCTAAAGCCGAATACAACACATCTATCATCTTTACAACAAGTGTAAATATAATTTTAAGGCAATATTGAGGTTGGTGTTAGCTGGCGCGGCGCTCACGTGACGTATTCACTAGTTCTTTGTGCCATGTAGCGTTTACGTGGTACTTACCGTTAGAAAAAAAAATAACGATAGGACCCACATGGGCAATCGATCACACTCCTTCTACCTTGCCCACCCCCACGGAGGCGAGTTTGCCGCTGCCTTGCTCCTCTCCTGCTAGGTGTCGCCCCTATCCTCGCCGCCTGCCTTCCTAGAGACAAAGAGGAAGATAGGGGAGATGTAGAGAGAGATGGGAAGAAAGGGGAAGAAGAAGACCCCTCACAGGTGAGCCCCACGTGGATCTTACCATATTTTTTTTTCTAACCATAAGTGCCACATAAATTCCTCATGGGACGAGAACTTAGTTAATACGTCAGGTGAACGCCGATATCAACCAAAATCAGCCTCAGTAATGCCTTGAGACTATATTTATACTAATTTTAAAAGATGAGAGATTGTTATACCTAGTATAACGGTTGAGGGATGCAACTGAAACTCGAACCTTAGGTGAGGTATGTAAAGTAGACCTGATATAGTTGGCCCAAACCAGACATCAATTGCACATTTATCTAAGGGCATTACCAAGAGATTATGAATAATCTCCTCCTAAAAATTTGTTTTTGGTTTCCTAAACTAAAAATAGAAATAAATAAACTGATATCTTCAAGAGAAACCTAATTAAATTTTATAAAAAAAACTAAAAGTGGACCCTTCTGTTAAACTATAAATAGAATTCTCGTGCAGAATAGATCACGCTCCTCCCTCACATGTGAGAGACGAGTCGGAGGGGAGCGCTTTCTCTCCCCTAAATCAACGGAGCGAGAAATAAGGGAAGAGAACTCCAAAAAACTCCAAAACGTGTGTTGGACTATAGGGGATTTGATCAAAATTTTCACCTAAAATCCCTCAAAATCAGTTTTGGGAAGGTGATACTCTAAGAGCCATTTTCTATCAAATCTTTTGTGATACTGAGTTGAAATAAAACTCTTATAATTGTATATGCCTTAGATACATGGGGGAGACAGAGAGTGACAATTATTTTCAATGTAATATCATCACCATTTGCATGAGTGGATCTGGCTCGATAAATTTGGTGCAAATTTTAATCCATTGTGTAGTGTTGCATGGCAAATCGGCTTGGCAGGACTATATGCTAATTTGACTTACATTGATGTAGCTTTAGGCTTTCGAGGTTATTTTTTCTTTTCACAAAAGAGGTATAACTTACAGACTCTGCGAGAGCATATAATTCAATTTATGGATATAGTCGGATTTTAATCATGATGAGTTAAGTTATGTATGCACAACTCTACCAATGCACAATGATGTTGGCAACCGAACCAGGCAGGAGAAGTCAACCCTACGAGTGCCATCTTTGAGTGACTTCGATTATTTGACACTCATGAACTCTGAATTGTTTTTATTTTATCACTTCTTCTAACACAGCATGATAAGTATGCAATTCGGGGAAATTGACTCTCTTGCCCATTTTTCCACTTTTTTGGACATAGTTCATGCGGGAGGAGACGAATTGGCAACAACTAATGGACGGTGACGGCACCAACCTCCTTCTCTGATGACGAGCCATCGCCGCTGCCACCACCAACGCAGAGCACCACATAGCGAGTTGGCTGCCTCTCCTTGCCAGAGCCAGCCGCGACGAGCCCGAGGGCTTCATATTAGTCTGCTATTGAGCTCGAAGATGCCAGATCTACCCTGACCACCTCAACTGTGCCTCCACTTCAGGTGCTCTATTCCTCCATCTCCCCACCGTTGCCCATCTTTTCCCTCCCCACGCTGCAGGGGTGATCTTGCTGCTCTCGCAAAGCACCATGACGAGGTGGACGTAGCATGCATGATCTTCACCTCGCACCACATGTCCTCAGCATTGCCATCACCTTTTGGTGGATCATCTGGTAGGCTAGGGTAGCGCTAGTATGCATGTTGAGGTAGCACTGTGTTACCCCGAAGTCCTGAACTCCTCGCCGAAAACTGCTCCACGAACCCCGCTGCCATCTTGTTGGTGGTTTTTGTTCTTCTAGCGCTGCTCGCCACCATTGTCGTCATCGTCGAAGATTGGGTTAGAGTACCTATGGAGAGTGAGAAGGCAGCGATGGGGATTAGGAGGATCTGCGTATGAAGGGCAGGGGTAGCATGGTTATTTTTTGTTCGGTGCGACAGGGCTCATGTGATGTGACAGTGATGTAGTATATTGTGTTCAAAATGACATGAGAGCATTGGCTGTGGTGTCTCGATGGGAAAAAAAAATCAAAGTCGACCAGGAGAGCACCATTTGACAGTGTGGTATTGAAGCAGCTAGCAAATAGTATAAAATCTCACATGTTCGGTTTGATATCGCTTGCTAACACCAAACAATGTGGGACTCATGCCATGTGTGCAATTTTTTTAATGAACCAGTGCAAAGCATGCTAATTTCATTGAATAAAACGGAAAATACTATACTTATACAGGGTTTTAAAAGAAAAGCTATGCTAAGACGTTAAGTCATATAGACTTTTTACTCCTGCAAGGGCTGAATGTCATGTGCAGTTAACCGATTAAAAAAAATCCCATCTCTTTCCATTCTTAACCTTCTCACTCAGGCCCAAACATGTAAACTGGCTCTTCCGCCGATAACACAAGGCAACACTCCAGCGCCTTCTATCTCGGTGGCTTCCACCTCGCACAGTCGCACTATAACGTCTCCTAGGGGCCCCTCCATCTCAGGTGACGTTGCCTCTTCGCTGCTAGCCTCCACCATGCACTTGGCCACCGCCTCCTCTCCGGCGGCCTTTGCCTCATGTGGCACCACCTCTGCTTCGCCGTTGCTGCCTCGCAGTCCAGCCACCACAAAGGCTTCTTGCTGGATGACCCTCATCTTGTATACTCATTGTGTCCATTACCCCCTCATTTTTATTTTTTTACTAGCATTATACCCGTACACCGTAACGTGTGGAAATAAATTTTCTCATCCATCAACAAATTGAACGAATTAACAAATCCTTGATACCAATATTTTGAATTAGAAATTAAAAGTAAAAAGGAACTAGAAAAAGATGGAAGATGAATTTATGACATATAGTGTTTTTTTTTCAATTCTCTTACACAAGGACTCTTCACATTAGCTAAATATCCAAACAGCACATACTTGTAATTTGCACTTGCATGTAGCCTTCTGCCTACTTCGTTTCTCTACTCTGCATGCTTAGTTTATGGTTGAGTTCTAACACACCGAGTTCTCTGTTTCTCAAGAATAGTACTATCTCCGTAAAAAAAATATAATAACTTTTAACTATATATCTAAACATGCTGTTATGACATGTAGCCCCAAGTTTAGTCTCTCTCCTGCACTTCTGCTTCATCCTCTAGCAGATGCTGCTTGAAGCAGCAAACGGCAACGTACGCCTCCCATATGTTTACTTTCTTTAACTACTAATTTGTGCTCAGATTATTTGTATTAACTTTCCTGGGAAGTTAGATTGTATATGCATCATCAATTGGCAAGAATTCCCGGTTAATCATATTAGGTAGCAATTCATGACCGGTAGGAATCCTTATACCCTTGAGCTCCGATGATGAGTAATTATTCACAATCAGGGAGTGTTCTCGTGGACTCTACTTTTAATAAATTTTCAACTGTCTATCATTTAATTCATTTGTTTATCTTTATCGTTGAATAATTGTCATAAACCCACTTTAATCCATCATCTACCACCCATCATCTATCTATAATGCAAGCCAACTGTGCAATGCATACACGTCTTAATTCTGGCTCTTTGCTGGCATCTCTTCATTGCAGGAGGAAACCATGGCCCTGTTTGGATGCTTCAGGCTATTAAATAGCTCTCCAGAATCTTGCTATTTAGGAGTATTAAACGTAAATTACTGACAAAACCCATTTTATAACCCCTAGGCTATTTTGTGAGACGAATCTAACGAGGCATATTAATTCATGATTTGCTACAGTTATGCTACAGTAATCATCCGCTAATCATAGATTAATATACCTCGTTAGATTCGTCTCGTAAAATAGCCTAGGGGTTATGGAATTGATTTTGTCAGTAATTTACGTTTAATACTCCTAAATAATAAGATTTCGGAGGGCTATTTAATAGCCCGAAGGATCCAAACAAGGCCCATGTCACTAAGCATAAACCATAAAGCTCCAAGAAGATATTATGCAAGACACTGGTAACACCAATACTTTTCAGGGCTTAAATGATGCTTAACATGAGTGCTAAACGTATTAATTAAAGACCATTTCTTTTCATTCCTTAGCTGGTTGTTGTTGTTGTCACTTCATGAGTGTCCACTTCACTACAAATGTGACCGTACGAGAGAGACAGTTCAATTTAAACCGCGTCTCTGATAATGAACCTCAATCATATGGGGTGATGAGAAGAAGCACGCGTTTCTTCTCTGCACGTATATGTGATGATTGGCCAAGAGAGGCCTGGCCTCGATCGATCCTTTTTTATTTTTAACGAAATCGGCAAGCTACTAATTTTCATTGAATAGAGAAGTGAAAATTATACAAAAAGTAAGTAATTAAAAGTTTTGAGGCCTCGGCCCTAGCGGCCAAAAAAGGTTACACTTTCAGCCATGCGGCAAGGTGTCTCGTGCCCGCGAGGCTCCACGTTTTTGCTTCTTCCTTTTATCTTGGAGAGTATATTTAAGGCCGACATCTCTTTGTGTTGGAAGATCCTCTGGTTCCTCTCATTCCAAATTTCCCATCCGACCAACAAGGTTAGCATATGTAGTGCTTTTTTCAGCGCTTCTCTTGTATTAACCGTGGCCTCCCACCACTCATGTACCATCGAGGCCGGCTCCCAAAGCGACGGGCTTAGATGGTCGCAGTCCATCCATCGTGCAATCTCCTCCCAGATTCTTCTCATGTATCTACATCCTTCTAGTAGGCGAAGGGCCGTCTCCTGAGTCTGACAATAGAGTGGGCATGTGGAGCCATTTGGCCATCCTCTGGTTGTTAGTCTGTCTGAGATCCAAACTCTGTTTTGGAGGACCAACTAGACAAATGTCTTGCACTTGCGTGGCGCCTGGCCTCGATCGATCGAATAAAGAAGACATGATGTTATTCAAAGCGTCATGGGTGCCATTTCAGAGACACTGGTAGCTAGTTTTTTTTATCAGTAGTTAGGCCTACCACGGGAAGGGTATTGGGTAACCCATATCCATACCTAATTTTATCTGTCTCCATCTAAAAAAAATATGACCCATACCTAAATTAAGTGGGTATTACCCAATGGTATGGGTAACCCAATGGATAAGAGAAGAGACATATGTGGGCTCCACATGTAGAAATGGATCAAAATTTGTACAAAGTTGCTCTTTAATATAATAAATCATCCCTCCAAATTCCAGTCAAATTTGATAAGATTTTGTAATGTGAGTTCGAGTTTAAAAATTTTAGGTCCGAATTTTACACCATAGCAAATGGGTACGGATGAAGTGGGTAAAATGGGTAATATCTTCCCCATATTCAAAATTTAAATTGGTAATTCTTTTACCCATACCCTACCCAAATAAAATGTGTATGGGTATGGGGATGGGTACTGAATACCCAGTGGCAGGCTGATCTGTATAGTGCGTGTCACCTGCTTGGTGTTCCATGCCTCCATGGTAATGTGTTGCCGTTTCATGAGTGTTCACTTCGCTACAAATGTGACCCTATTGGAGATAAAAAGAGAGCCCTTCCTTTCTTTTTTTCCCCAGGCTAGAATGGAAAGATGCTGCTTGATTGATTCTTCTAAACCATCCTGTTCATGCTTGCGCAAATCAGAAAATGTCACTTCAGAGCTTCATCCAACCCTGTATACAGGGGTGAAGACAGCTATAGAAGGCTAAAGCTGCTGGATCGTTTTTACGATGAGATCGGCAATGATGACTTATGACGAGTTTAAGTAGTGCTGCCGCAAGATTTTGTCTGCTCTTCGTGCTGGTTTTTTTTTTTGCCAATTTTTATTCGATTATAAGCGTATCGTTGTAAAGTTTTTCGACCCGGTTTCCCTCGTAACCTCATAAACTGAGAAATTCATTGTCCTTTTAGGACTTTTCTTCAGAGAAAAAAAAATTGATCAGCATGGATATATATATGCTAGTCTTTGCACTACCACGAAAGGCACGCACAAGCCAGCATTATACGTGCCGGAATAGCGAAAACCGACGCCTAGTATTTTTCTCACCTTCATAGGCTGAAAATAAAAAAAACCAATACCTTTAAACGACTATAGGTACTAGTTCTTGAGAAAAACCAACACCTATACTATAGGTGTCAGTGTAAAAAAACCAACATCTTTAATATATTATAGGTGTTGGTTAATTAAAAACCGACACTAAAAAAACCGAACCATTCCGGATCTAACTCTTTTTAGCGCGGAAGCCAAGAGGGGGGGGGGGGCTTATCCACTCACCCCCTCCTCTCGGCCGTCTCTCTCTCTCTCTCTCTCTCCAGCTCTCGAGCTCTCCTCCCCTCTCTACCAGTTCCCTCTCTCGTCCTGCCCCCTCCTCTCTCGCCTCCTTCGCCATCGGCGGATCCGGTAGAGTCGATGGCATTGGCGGCTCCCGTGGGCCGGATCTGACGGTCCTTTACCCTCTTCCTCTCCATCCCTAAGCTTCTCTCGCGGGCAGATCCAGCAGAGGCAGCGGCGATGGCGTTTTCGATAGTCTTTCTACCCTCTCCCCTTCCCCCTCTACCCCTAATCTTTTCCCACGGTAGCGATGATGGCATCGGTGCTCCCACGGGCGGATCTAGCGGTGGCGCTTCCGACAGATGGATCCGACGGTCCTCTACCCCCTCCTCCTCCGTCCCCAAGCTTTTCCCGCAACTGCAGAGATGGCATCAGTGCTCCCGTGGGTGGATCCGACGGAGGTGTTTCCGGCGGGCAGATCCGGTAGCGGATCCGGATCTGCCCCAAGCTTCTCCTGTAGCGGATCCGGTGGCGGTGGCAATGCCGACGGCTCCCGTGGGCGGATCCAGCTTGATTGTTGTTGTGTTGTTGCGATGATGTTGTTGTTGTGTTGCTGTGATACTGACCGATGGATTGATTTTGGGGGGCGAAGTAGGGGGAATGTGCTCGGTGATGATGTATTGAGCATTTTTTTTTCATCCCGGAAACCTTAAAGGTACTGGCACCTTTGAGGAGACTCAATGGTGCCGCCTTCTAAGTGTAGGTTGGGAAATCCGACACCTATTGCCGCTTCCCAACTGGCACCAAAGGTCTTTTCTGCAGTAGTGTTGACACTTCGTTCTTCAACATGCCTCTTATACATGTACATGGTGATGAGTGACAATCCTTGCATAGATTTGAATTGGCAGTGATTTACCTTGTATTTGAATACATGTTCCATATAACATTGTGATACCACCTGAGATTGAATGACTCAACAGAATGATTAGATTGATAGAAATGTGGAGTACATATATAAGCGTAATCCTTCCATTATCCACTTACAGCAAGAAATATCGGGAGGATCGGCTAAGCAAAACACGGGTACATGCCATATACAAGTGAAACACTACCATTTTCTTCCATTTTTCATGTTTTGCAAGATGAACTGTGCCAAAAATGGGTTCAGAGTTCAGACTCTGTCCGCCGCAGGAGGATCATCTTGTAGTTGCAGATGAGGGCCGGCAGCAACGACGGTGTTAAACCCGAGCCACTTCTTGGACCTGCACACCCTCATGACGCCGTGCCATCCCACGCCAAGGGCGGTGAGCCCAGCGGCGATGGCGGAGACCCTCCACCCGGCGACGGCGATCACGTACGCCAGGAACGCCGACGGCACGAGGCACATGGCGGCGAGCGCCGGGAGCGGGAGCGGGACACGGTAGGGGCGCTTGAGCGCCGCAGCGTGCCTCCCGCGGCAGCGGAGCCAGAGGAAGGCGGCGAACTCGAGCAGCGTGCCGAGGCTGTAGAGCAGGTTGGCGGTGGCGACGACGTCGTCGAAGCCGAGGAAGGAGACGGCGACCGAGACGGCGGCGGAGGCGGCGACGGCGACCCACGGGGTGGCGGATCGTCCGGGGCCGCGGCGGGCGAAGACGGAGGGGAGGAGGCCCAGCTCCGCCATGCCGAGGAGCTGGAACGCGCCGCTGCTCAGCTGCGCTTCGAACAACCCGACGGAGGAGAGCACCGCGCCGGCCTCCGTCCAGTACTTGAGCCACCGCCCGCCGATGATGCCTGCATAAAATAAATCTCTTAGAAATCAGGGTTTTAAATTTAGAAATTGCTATTTCTGCTGGGGGCACCGAAATTTTAGAAATTTTAAATTTTTTTGGCCGAAATTATTTAAAATTTTGACTGATTTTGAATGAATTTGAATAATATTTGGTCAAATTCTCAAAAATATGCAGAAAAACAAAAAATTCCATGCGAGATATGAGCTTGCTGGTGGGGGGGGGGGATTTCAGAAATTTTGAAACGAAATTTCAAACCCTACTTGAAATAAGGTTGTCGTATGTTCTGTAAAAACTTCTTTGGGCAATGCGTGTCACCCTGTCCATATTCGTTGACGCTGGATTTGAAACACGTTGGGTGGAGTCATGTACAGATGATTACACCACCACACTGATGCTTCTTTTAAAGCACGATATTAGTTTGAATAATTTGTCCTTAATCTTTTGTGTAGAAAGAGTTACAAAAGTGGAACACGATAAATCTTCATATTAGGATAAACTTGAATATCTATTTGTTTATATGCAAAACCTGATCAAGTTAAATTGTGGTAGTTACACACGAAACTGCTATTCGGTGACCAGTCGTGCGCGCCTCTCTCCGCGCGACTGGACACGTGTCACGTGCGGAGAGGGGCGCCGGACAGCGCGCCGCGCGGGAGGAGCTCCGTGTTTTCCCTTTTTTTTTTCTTTTCGGTTTCTCTTTTTTTTTCTTTCGTATTTTTTTCGGTTTCGTTTTTCTTTTTTTCTTTCCGTATTTTTTTCGTTTTTAATACGTATGTATGCAAACTTTGTATACGTAAAAATATAAACTTTGTATACGCATGTATAAAGTTTGTATACACGTATGCAAGCTTTGTATATGCGTATATAAGGTTTGTATATATGTATACAAACTTTGTATATGTGTATTATTTTGGGTTTTATATGTACATATACAATTTTATATACATGTATACAAAGTTTGTATACACATATATAAAGTTTGTGTACATATATTTTTTTTAGGTTTTTTATACATACGTATACAAATTTTGTATACACGTACATAAAGTTTATATGCATATATATAAAGTTTATATACACATATTTTTTAGGTTTTTTAATGTGTATATATTTTTTTATAGTAGTAGTACTAATAGTAGTAATAATAGACTAGTAGTAGTAATAGATTAGTAGTAAAAGGTACTAGCAGTAGTCGTGTGCGGCCCCAGGCGCGCGATTAGTCGCACATTAGGCGCCCCCAGTTACACATCCTTAATAATGTTCTTTTATGATTGAGGTTATTTATGAGAGGTAGTAATCAAGAAAAGAATTTATGATGCATGTATAAATAAAAAAAACGTACTACCTCTATTCTAAAACATAGCAATATATTGGATATATCTAAGTGCTATAAATCTTAACATATCGATCCATGTTTAGATTTATTAGTTTTATAATATTAGAATATATCATATCTATATTTAGAATAGAGACAGTAATATACTGCTAGCTTTATATCATCCGACCATGATCTATATTTATGCTTACTTTTGTCTGTTTTGGTAGCTGTGTGCTTGTTTGTTTCATAACCGATCTAGGCATTGGTTTTGCTTCGGCATGTTGGTGTTGTTGCTGATCTTATTGTTCTCTTGCCTTGGCTTTTGCGATACCGGAACAGACAAGGCATTGTAAGTAGCTTTGGTAGAGCGGAACAGATATGCAACTGCCCCTTGAGATTTCTCAAAACTCACTAGCAGCTTCGTCACTGCTATAACCCATTTTGTTCAGACAGAGGTGCTGTGTGTGGGTCAAGGATATGTGTATTACAATATCAAAATTGATCCTAAATGCCTGTACAATGATAGATGCTACTACTCTGTTTTCTATTATTAAGAATATTTTGTTTCATTAGAAAAAAACTTTAATTAACAATATATTTACCAATAATATAATTTATGTGATACAAAAGCATAATTATAAGTAAGTACTTCTGAATATAAATCCATCTATCTAATAGGGGATACAAATTTGTAAATTTGTCACCTAAAATCGCACATTGATAATAATTCTAAAATTGCAGTAGTATGCAATGTGTAATTTTACTCCTTTTAACTATAATTTTGTTGTCATATTTAGCTTTACATTATTTTTATTTAGGTTTGAATATTTTTTATATAATTTGTAAAGTTTATGAATTGTAAATTTATTTCATATATTGTTATGTTTAAATATGTTATTCAACCTTTTTAGAAGAAAAAAAAGGAAGAAGCAATGAGAATCACTGATTACCATCAAAGGTAGAAAAAAGTGACAAAAATCTAGACGTACGCTCCCAATGTAATAAGATCAATTTTACGCCATAAAAATTATATCATAATAAAGTAGTGTTGTCCTAACCAAAACAAAGTATGGCATACAGTTTTCAATGAAGGATGTACTATATTAGGTTTTTTTTTTTTTGAAGTTATATAGAGCGAAAAGAATAGAGGATCGATCGGCTCACTATAGTGGAGAAACTTTGAGGGGAGACATATTACAACGAAATAGAGGGTGACACATGCTTTAATTTGCACTGGTACTACCATCTTTCTTGAATCAGGCAAGTAATCGATTTTCCTTTTCCTAGTTCTCTACATAGCAAATTCTTTAAACAATGTACAATTACATATTGCAAGAGTTATGAATCTAAAGTAGTGTAATTAAAAATGTGGAATTTTCAGTATGGATATATAGAATTACTGCATAAAAAATATATATGGTTAAAAGTTAACTGTTTCTCTTTTTGTGGCGCCACTACCTATGTTCTTTCCCTTTCAATTTTTGTTCCTAACCATGATGTGCTTATTCTCGCTTAATCCATCTCTCTTTTCTGTGAAAAGTAATCCGATTTTTTTTATCTGAGCAAAACAAGAAATATTTTTTTTCTAAGCAGGGCGGTGTGAATTTTTATTTATAAACAGGACGGCGTGATTTCGTAGCATCCTGTTAGCCTAATTAGACGCAGTCTATCTGGAGCGTCCAGTCTTCCAGCGGACGTGACGTTGTTATATATAGCGTCCAAACTTCCTAAAAACAGAATCCCCTATTCATCTTCTCACAGTAAAAACCCCAAATCAGAAACCCACCATTGAAGCACCGATCAAGGTTGTATGATTACCTCTTTTCTATTTTTGCATTCAAGAGGAAATGAGTAAATCCTGTGTAGTATTCTTTTCTTTATTGATACGTTAATCGCACTGATACTTCTCAGGCAATAGCTGTTTCGTGCTTACTCCCTCCGTCCCAAAAAAAAAGACAAACTATGGGTTTCCGTGTCCAACTTTGACTGTCCGTCTTATATGAATTTTTTTTATAATTCGTATTTTCATTGTTGTTAAATGATAAAACATGATTAATATTTTATGTGTGACTTGTCTTTTTAATTTTTTTTATAATTTTTTTCAAATAAGACGGACGGTTAAACGTTGGGCACGGAAACCAGGGTTTGTCTTTTTTTTGGGACGGAGGGAGTATGTTTTAGAGGACAATGACTGAAATATGAGCAACAGCCATCGTAGCAAATGCTTTTAAGCTAACTAGGAAAGTAGCCCGCGCACATGCGCGAGCACCTAGATTATATAATTTAGTGTTGCTTGAAATTTTATTATGAATGTTTATGTGTAGGTGACTTTTCTTAAATATTTTATCAATAATTTGTTTTGAATTGGTTTTTTCTACTTACCCCTCCAACATTTTGATTCTAAACCAAAATTACTTTGAAACCGTACTATCATTTGCTCATATGAAACTATCATTTGTACTACGCGTGTTTCTTCTTGTTTTTTAATATGTAGCACATCTTATTTTGGGAATTTCTAAACTTCAAGTAACAAATTTTATTATATATTATAGATATCTTTATGGATTTTACGATATATTACTCGATGATATTTTTTATTAAAAATATGGCCAGTAGGATTGTTTCATCTCATTAAAGACATACTTCTACTCACTTCTCCTTTTATTTCATATGCTTTATTATTTTCTTTGGAAATAAATTTAATTTGCAATAAGAGCGCAATCATACTGATCTAATTCTATATGTATAGCATTTCTAGTTTTAGTGCCATCGACTAAAGTACAGTTTTGTTAGGTCGTCAATTCTTCTTATAAAGCACATTTTCATTTCGTGAATTCTGATATATTAGTTTAGCATGATTTGTACTCTCTAATCAACCAAACTTAGTATAAGATATTCACATACCATGCGTTTTTAATAGAAAACAAAGAGGAAAAAACACATGGTATGTACTCTCATAACTTATATGGTCGTAAATAGGATTGATACTTTAGGTTATCCCCTTATGGGCAAATAGACTGGATTCTACATGTTAAACATACCTATATAATAATATGATCCATATCATTATTTTCTCCAAGAGTTCCATCGTTTCAATTATGCTTATGCTTATGCTTATGCTTATTTATATTGCTTGTGTTGTGGGTAAAACTTTTGTACACGTGTTTTTAGCGGTTCAAAAACAAATGCTATAAAATAAACCACAAAAAACCCCCCACGAAATCAACTTCAAAATTAAGTTTTAAAATTTAAATTTTGACTTATAAGCATAAGCATAAGCGAGATGATGAGGCTAAAAGATTTGTCATAATTCTAAAATGCCATGCAAAGTACCAATATTTGACCTATTACTTGTTGACATTGTAGTACTGATTTAATCGTGGAAATTTATGAACTAATAACAGATACTTAGTAATATGCTCTATATTATCATCTTTCATAATTTTCATATATGTTTGGATTTTATTCAAAGAATCAAAATATGACCTAAATATAGTAATACTATATTGTTAATTTAATGGTAAATATAGATAATTTATTAGCCATGCATGTTTGTAAAATGATATATGATATAATAATCTATGTTGTTGTTTTTTCTTCCCTAAGATATAATGCAAATGGTCAAAATACCACCAGTAATAATATATATATATATATATATATATATATATATATATATATATATATATATATATATATATATATATATATATATATTAAAATATACTCAACATGTATCTTAAGTAATTGATTTAATTCAAAAGATTACAATGGCGTGAACATAATTTTTATATGTATAATTTAAAAGTTATAGCGATTTAAATTTATTATGATAAACAATAAATGTTACCTAATTATATATAAAAAAATGAGCAAAGGAGAGGGAGGAGGATCTAAGGGGTGTGCCGACACGTGCATATGCAGGCGAGAAAGATGGGAGGTCTTGTTTGATTGTTTTAAGATAAATCTAATTTAATGGTGCAAAATTATGGTTCCATCCGTTTAAGCATACATTAATAGCTAAATGTTTTTCCTTAAAAATTTTAAGATTTCTCTAATTGCCACGTGGCAGCAGTACAACTCAAAATGATATATTATTTTACATGTTAAAATATGTTTAGCATGTATTACTATGGGCATTGAATTGTGGATTTAGTTGCGAAATATAATTATTCAAATAGATAAAAATCGGATATAAAACTTGAAAGTTACTGTTGATGGATTGAAACTTGATGACTTCCTAATTAACTTGTGTTTCTATCCCAACTAATACTCAACAAAGGAAAGAGGAGAGAGGCATGGACACGTACGGTGAAAAGGAGAGAACCATATACATGTATGAATGGTTGGATGAAATCTGTTATGGAACAACTTATATCTTCAATTACCGCAGAGAAAAAAAAAAGGTGGAAAGAGCGAGGGACAGGCCTGATGCTACCCACGCATACGGGAGGGTGCATATTGTGCCGGATTTTTTCTTTTAAGAATTTCTAAGATTTTGTTTAGTTTGTTTGAGTGCCACGTGGTGGCTTAGGAGTATTTGTAGGAGACCACATGTCAGTTTGAGAGCGTTTATAGAAAATTTAATGAACTTTTAGTATATAATAGAAGATTTGTCTGTTCAATTCCTGTTTTGTCAACATAACAAGATGATTAAGGAGACAATAGTGTGCACATAATCTGGAAAAAATGAATTAGTTTTACTTTAGGACCAATCATCGTACAATCCTTATTTTTTAGTTGCAGAAAAAAATATACCAATTGTAAATTGTTGGACATGCTCTATTAATTTTTTTTAAGACAAGTAGTAAGATGAGGACTACTCTAGATGGGAGAGCAACTCTAATAGAATGGCCAAATGGCTGGCCAAGTTAAATTTTAGCAATTCTAAAAAAATAAAAATCGTGCTCCAACAGGCTCTCCAACCGAAGGGCCAAGCCATCTGGTTGGCCAAATCTGAGTTCCCGCTAGCCAAATCTAGCCAGTCAAGCCGGCTGGCCATCCACTCATCTAGTGGGACCCACGTTCTCTCTCGCTTTCTCTCCCCTCCCTCTCTCTCTTCTCGCACAAGCACGGGAGCTCAGCCAAGTAGCGGCGGCAGATGGGGATGGTGCCGAAGCAGCGGCTGATGGGGGCAGAGCCGGAGCGGCGATGGCAGGCGGATGGTGATGGAGCCCAAGCTCGGCCAGAGCTGCAATAGCGGGCGGAGCCAGAGCGGCGAGGGCGGGCAGATGGGCAACCCGCCGTCCGCCAAGGACGACGCCGAGGCCGCGGCCCGCAAGATGGAGGACGACTTCAACGCCTTCACCGTGTCCAAGGCCGACGACCTGGCCAAGCCACTCAAGGACGCCGGGATCCCCTACAAGATCCACATCTCCGCCGTTTGCCCCTCGCCTTCCGCCGCCTTGCCGTCGCCGACTCGCGGCGGCGGCAGATGAGGATGGAGCCCGAGCGCCGGTGGCGGAGGCGGATGGCAGCAGAGGGGAGAGGGGAGGGGGTTTGGAGTTTGGAGAGAAGGGGAGAAAGATGAAGAAGAAAAAAGAGTTGTAGAGATTGACATGTGGGTCCTATTGTCATAGACTCATAATAGAGAGGATGAATGAGGAGGCTGTTGGAGTAAACAATGAGTTTGACTTGCCAAATTAGATGGAGAGTTGGCCAAATAGACATTTAGAGAGTTAGATTTGGAGAGACTGTTGGAGATGCTCGTTGGTCAGCTGCAAGAACTGATGGAGAGCTAGGCTTATTAGATGGAGATCAAACTTTAGTTCAGCAAACTGAAAAAAGTGTTTCAGAACATTTCAGTGCACTGCTGTGGATGCCCCACTGCCAGTACAAAATCTCAATAGTTTGGGAAAATGTAAGTTGTCGTTAGCTTGTTTCATATACTTGTTTCCAAAAAAAGAATGATTGACTAATTTTTACCCTATGTATGTAGGATAATGATGGTGCAAGTGTCAGGTATCACCATGTTGACATTCCATACTATTATTTATGTGAGCAGCTATTGAAGAGGCTTAGATTTTATCAAGTTGCTCAGATGGTTGGAATGAGTATAGACAGATTTCTAATTGGAGCATTAGTAGAATGATGGCGTCCTGCAAGATGTGAGTTGTCTATGGGCTTATCAATTTAAGTTGAGCCTATCATAGGCAAGTCAGAGGGTCCATCGATTGATGAAATTGAGACCTTACAAGGAATTACTCCAGTAAAACATGTGATGAAGCAAAAAAAAGCGAAAGGCAGCTGATGGTGACTTGGAAGTTACGGGATGATGACATGTTCTAACTACTCCATCAGCTTAAAAAAATTACGGGATCAGTTCAAGTTGATGCCAGATAATGCAATGAAAAAAGGCAAATTGAGCATTACACTAGAGCATTCATTTTGGATATTCTTGGATCATTGGTTTCTGACCTAGTAAAAGATATGTTTTCTCCCAGTACCACGAATCTGAGCAAATGATTATCCGATTCGTTATACCGAAAGGGGTCAGTATAATCCTCAGCTCCTATGGAGACGGGATGTCACAGGCCACAGGGCGCAGGCTTTAGGTGACCGCGAGGCAAACTTCTTCTGTTACTGTCTTTATATTCCCTTTGTTTTTCTTTATGTTTTTTTTTGCGGGGATGTTTTTATTTATGTTAATTTATCTCAAATTAAAATGGCAATAAATAAATATATCTTTTCTCTTGTTTGACAAATTATCTGTATGCTCTAGTGTTGCATCTTCATTTTGTTGAGGTACTTTTCATTTTCCAATGCTTGCTTGTATGTTTGAAAAGAGTTTCTAAGCTGTCATGCTGGCCGTCGTTATAATGCCATTGAGAGAGCACTGTTTGATAACCATGTACCTGCTGCGTCGGCCAAGTAGCCGTTCTCCCACGTCTCCGGCGGCGCGTCCGTGGCGCCGATCGCCGCCATGAGCGGCAGCAGGTAGCTGACGGCGATGAGCACCACCGCCACCGCGAGCGCCCGCGGGAACGTCCGCTCCGGCCGCTCCACCTCGCCGGCCATGGTGCTCGCGCTGTCCCAGTAGTTGAGGTTCCAGAAGAGCGTGTTGAAGAAGAGCCTCCAGTCTCTCTTCCTCCCCTTCACCCGCGCCGCCCACCGCCGCGGCCGCGTCCTCGGCGCCGCCATCGCCGTCATCAGCACGAACGGCGCCAGCGACACGAACCCCAGGGCGACGGCGCCCCACCCCACAATGCTGAGGCCGGTCAGGTTGAGGAAGGAGAGGAAGACGGTCATGCCGAGCACCGTGCCCGTGCGCGCCCTGCTGCCCGGGACGGCGACGGCCGGTGCGACGCGGCCGAGGTAGTCGGCGACGAGGGCCGGGAACGCGGCGAGGTTGATGACGCAGCTGAGGTACTTCCACGTGCCGAGCAGGGAGCCGGCGAGCGGGCCGAACGCGCGGTCGGCCCAGACGACGAATCCGCCGTTCCCCGGGAGCGCGGCGGCGAGCTCGGCGGTGACGAGCGACACCGGGACGCCCCACGCGAAGGGGAAGGCGAGGAAGCCGAGCAGCGCGAACAGCGGGCCCGCCGCGCGGACCGCCCGCTCGGCGCCGTACGGGCCGCCGGCCACCTCGAAGTAGATGAGGAAGACCAGCGGCAGCAGCGTTAGCTTGCTCCGGTGGTGGCGCTCGGCAGTCGCGCCGCCGCCGCCGCCCTGGCCATGCACGGCGGCAGCTGCTTGGTGATCTTGCCGTTCATCATCTTGTGGCGGCATCGCCGCGGTGGCGCCATGCTCTTCTTGTTGTTGCTCTCGCTGCGATGGTCTCTGGTTCAGTTGGATTTCTTGGTCCATGGCGATCGAGTGAGCTTAATTAATTATACTAGCTAAGTAACACAAGTGCAAGCTAGTTAGTGTGTTCCCAGTGCCCTGCATTCTTGTACGCATCGTGCGTATATAACCTGGTTGATTAAGGTGGAAAGTATTTTTCTGCACCCGGGTGCAATAGCACTCAAGTGGAGAGACGTCAGATTCGCATTAGGATCCATGCGTACACCTGAACATACATTAGTATTTCCCATGTTAAACAGGATCACATATTTGTAAAATGATGCATCATACATATGTACAACTAACCCGGCCCTGTCGTGTCAATTTAGTGGCCTAGAACGAAGTTAGAAAAATGGGCCCTTTAATAAGATGACGTGGCCAGAAGGGCGGCGGAGGCGAATAGGCGATAGCACGAAAGGAAGCCAAAATGATGGAAATTTCTTCACGTAGGTGTGTCTCTTTCTCTCCTGGGCTAATAGGCTTCCTAATTTCTATGGGCTATTATATACAGCATATATGGGGTTGGGCCCCTTCACTTTGTGGGCCCTGTGCGGTGGCATAGCTCAACCCCCTCCCCCTCCTCTCCTGTGGCCGGGCCTGCAACTAACTATTGTATGAGTGAACATACTATTAGGTTGGCTGTAGATGATATGTGTTAACTTTTAAAGATATTAGTTGACAATATTATTAAACTTGCTCTAATATTATTAAACTTGCTTTTAGACTGACTGTAAAAGTTTAATGTAAGAAACTACATGAGCTTATGGAATTATATTCCTTCTTGCATACAGACTTCGTGGGTACACAAGTCTATATATGGTTAGTAACTTTGCACGTGGTTCGGTACAGATGACATGTGTCAGAACGTGCAACTATCGATCAGCCTACTCTATGGCTGTCTAACTGTTCACTGCAGATGTTGGGGCGGCAAAACAAAATGAGAAGAAAAGAGAAAGATGTATGAAAAAATAAAACCATTACCCTAATCATGCGATAAGACTGAGCTTAGTGACCTTCTTGCCAACTTATTATAGCTAGTACTTTTTAATTTATATACTCTTTTCTTAAGTGGTGTCAAGTGTAAAAGTGAACATTTTTCTTCACTTCTTTTGCTATATAGAGTTCATTTCTTCTTTTTTTTCAATTGGTATATACATATTATTTCCGATGGAGGTTCATATCTTTGTCCTAAGATATAGGACCTAATATCGTACAAATATTAGGCTAGTACATATGTATCAAACCTTATACCTACATGTATTAGTCTGATATCAACGGGTATCAGGGCTACTAAGTCTTGTATTGATTGGTATTAGACTTGGTACCAATTGGTATCACATAGGTACCGACGGGTATCAGGAGTAGTAACTCTGGTATCGACGAGTATCAGACCCGATATCGACATGGTACTAATAAGGGTAACAAGTTTGTACTGACCAATATACTCTACCTAGTACCGATCGGTATTAGCTTAGTACCGATGGGTATCAGGAGTACCATGTGTAGCATCGATGGGTATTAGACCTAGGGCCTGTTTGTCACAGCTCCAACTCCAGCTCCACCTCTTCTGGAGCTGGAGCTCAGCCAAACAGTTTCAGCTCCACCTAAAATGGGAGTGGGCTTGGGTGGAGGTCTCTCACAAAATGAACTAGAGAGATGGAGTTAGGTTTAGGTAGCTCTACAACTCCACTTTAGACCCAACTCCTGGAGATAAATTTAGGAGTTAGAGCTCTACCAAACAGGCCCCTAATACCGGCCTGGTACCAATAGAGGGTACAAAGAGTGGTACTAAACGTTATCGGACCTAGTGCTGATTAGTATAGTCTTGGTATCGATATGTATCAGGGGATGATGTCTGATGCCGACTAGTATCGCTCGACACGAGTACCATTTGGAAGGTATATATGTGATGATACTTTTAAGCATCAATTAAGTATCATAGACATGTACTGGTCAAGACTATGAATATATGTGTGGTGAGAACTTGATAATGAGAAAAGAGCTAGATGGAACAACCGAACTAGCCCAGCCGAATGGAGTCGAAACCTCCCACCCTTTGGTCTCTAGAACCAACCAAACTTGACTAGTAGGTTCAGCCCGATAAATACATATCAAGATGGCTTGACACATAATGGATGCATATGGCGTGTGTCAGGCGCTCACGTGTCGGGAGTTGCGTGCTCGCATGGAGTGGGAGAGTGAGTGGACGCATGAGCATTTGAAATGGGGGGTTATACCATTACGGCGGTATAATAGTTGTGCCCTTATAGAAATAGTTTTGCATCCATTACGATTTGGTCTCCGATCAGGTATTAAGATGATCTATCTTAAAGTCGGTGCAAATGCCCTGCGAAAAAAAAAAGAAAAAAAAAGAAAAATCGGTGCAAATGGACAGCATCTGAATTTAGATTCTTAACCTCTTATTTTAGCTGTTCATTTCATATACACAATACGTGCATAAGATCATTTCATTTCTTTTGGCTAGTATGTGTTCATAGGTGATATAAAGAGAGATTTTCTTTTTTTTTTTTTACCTCTCGTCGCCATTAACGGCGGCAAGCGGGAGGTCGACCTCGTGTGCCCACTCGACGCACCTCGTCTCGAAATGGTGGCTCCTCACCTGGTTGGGAAGGTAGGTCAACCAGGCCTTGAGCCCCACGCGCCACGGCAGCGTTCTCCCCTCCGCCTCCCTCCCCACCCTCCACGTCACCTCCTCGGGCAGCTCGTCGCCGGCCACCACCAGCCCCCGCATCTTGCTGAACGCCCTGCCCGGCCCGCCGTACCGCCGCCGCATCCCGTTGCGCGGGTCACCGGCGCCGCCATTGTTGTTGTTGTTGTCGCCGCGCCACGCCGAGATCTCCGTGCCGGTGGCCGGGTCGCACAGCACGCCCTCGAACACGCCGGCGCTGCCCTCCGCCTCCTGCTCCCACCGCCAGCTCCGGTTGCGTGCCCGGGCCGACGACCGCGTCTTGGCCTTGATCCTCGGAGGGACGCCGCCGTTGGCTAGCTTCGTGGCGCCGGCGGCGGCGAAGGCGCCCTTGACGGTGCGCGTCGTCTCGACGTCCTGCTCCGGGTTCCCCGTCGACCGGCCGAGGCTCGGGCCGGTCGCGTACGACGCGCCGAACCTAGGGCCGACCCAGAGGCGGAGACGGGACGGGAAATGGCGCTCGCCGTCCATGGCGTCGTCGTGAGCGTCGCCACCGTCGGCGTCAGCGTCCGCGTCGTCCCTCCGGAACCCGAGCCGCGCGACGCGTACCCGGACGTTGTCGACGCGCACGGCGACGGTCATGAACCTCTCGCCGCGGCGAGCGCGCACGGCGTACTCCAGCTGCGCCACGACCTCCAGCTGCTGGTGCACCAGGCCGTACCTCAGCGCCGGCTCCTCCGGCGCCTCGTGCGGCAGCGCCGTGATGGGCGCCGTCGTCGATGCCGCGCAGGTGACACGGGGCATGGCGAGCACCGGCGCGTATCCTCTCAGAACCCACAGCCCGTGCACCTCGGTGGCGTACGACAGGCACGCCGCGGGGAGCGCGCGCGGGCGCCGTGTCGCCGCCGGCGCCGGCTGATCCGCATCCGCTTGCATCTCCCGTAGCAAGCACAGCTTGGCGAGCATGTAGCCGAGCGACCGCATGAACCGCTCCTCGACGTCCGGGCCGAGGGAGGCCAGGAACAGGGCGAGCGCTGGGCGGCAGTCCACGAGAGCGCGCTGGATGTCGGCGCCGAGAGCTTGGAAGAAGAGAAACCCGGTGTCGGCGGGTGCCTCGGTGGCGCACAGCCAGAAGAGGCGCAGAAGGAGAGTCAGCGAGAAGAATGAGGCGGCAGAATCATTCCCGATGCCGGCGACGATCTCCTCGTCCAACTTCGACTTCGGTGCGCCGCCGACTCCGAGTCCGAGGTTTCCGCTCAAGCAAGAGACGGACGGCGAGAGCGTGATCACCTCGTCGAGCAGCCTCGCCAGCAGCTGCCGCTGCAACGCGACACCGGAGGCGGCCTCAAATCGACCCGACGTCCACAGCACGCGCGCTGCGCCGCCATTGGTGCTGTTCAAGGCGAGAGAGAAATCTACTAGAGTCTTCTCTTCCTCATCACCTTCAGCCAATGCGACGTGGTCGGCCTGCAGGACAATGGACGTGGTGCCGTCAGCGAAGGCGGCAAGGGCGACAACGGCCTGCGGCGGCGGCGGCTCCTCGCCGGCCAGGCCGGCCAGCCACGGCCACACGTCGTCCATGAGATGTGGCAGCGATGGCGTTCCGCGCGCGCGGTGTCTATTGGTTTGTAGGATGACTACGGGCGATGGAGCATGTGTGGTGGTTGCAGTTTGTGGCGCGGAACGGAGGTTTGTAGTGTGGAGCCGCGTGTGCCACAAAAGAGGAGCTGGGTTAGTACGTGGATATGAATATGATCATGTCCGCCTCCTTGTCGCCATTTCATGGATGTCCACTTCACTACAAATGTGACCATTTCAGATTTGAGAGAGACAGACCGTTCAATTTAAACCGCGTCTCTGATAATGAACCACAATCGTACACGGTGATTAATTAGAGGAACAAATATGAAAACGCCAACTTTAGAGCTTCATCCAACCATGTAATTAGTCTTGTACTAGTATAGCTTGTAATTAGTCTTCTACTAGCAAATATTTCGAGTTTCTTACCGTGTTTCATCTTTTCGCAAGACGAAATCTGCCAAAACGGGTTCAGAGTTCAGACTCTACCAGCAGGAGGAGGAGGAGCATCTTGTAGTTGCAGACGATGGTCGGCGGCAACCGCGGTGTTGAACCTGAGCCACTTCCTGGACCTGCACACCCTCATGGCGCCGTGCCAGCCGACGCCGAGGGCCGTGAGCGCGGCGGCGACGGCGGAGACCCTCCACCCGGCGACGGCGACCACGTACGCCAGGAACGCCGACGGCACGAGGCACATGGCGGCGAGCGCGGGGAGCGGCAGCGGGACGCGGTAGGGGCGCTTGAGCGAGGAGGGGCTCTCCTCCCTCGCGCGGAGCCGGAGGAAGGCGGCGAACTCGAGCAGCGCGCCGAGGCTGTAGAGCAGGTTGGCGGTGGCGACGACGTCGTCGAAGCCGAGGAAGGAGACGGCGACCGAGACGGCGGCGGAGGCGGCGACGGCGACCCACGGGGTGGCGGATCGTCCGGGGCCGCGGCGGGCGAAGACGGAGGGGAGGAGGCCCAGCTCCGCCATGCCGAGGAGCTGGAACGCGCCGCTGCTCAGCTGCGCTTCGAACAACCCGACGGAGGAGAGCACCGCGCCGGCCTCCGTCCAGTACTTGAGCCACCGCCCGCCGATGATGCCTGCATCGAAAATCACGTCAAATCAGACGGCCAATCTGTAAAACTTACATGGGCTGGGCTGAGATTAAATCGAGCCTAACATGTTCATATTTTACGGGGAATAAGTCCGTCCCTCAACTTTACACCGAGTTTTTTTTTTTACATCCCTTATCCTCAATATCAAAAATCTTCATCCCTAGACTGTATAAAAGCGTCCAATTTAGGTCTATAAGAGTATAGACACCTGATTTCGCTGACGTGGCATCCCAGTCAGAAAAATAAAAAAAAAATAAAGTATGCGGGGCCCACATGTATATGGCGGCGGCGGCGGGCAAGCGCACGACGGGCGAAGCAAGCAGGGGCAGCGGGCGAGCACGACGAGCGAGCGTGTGGCAGGCGAAGCAGGCAGGGGTGGCGGGGCGACAAGGCAGCACCGGGATCAGGGTGCTCATCGGTGTCATCCCCCTGCTGCCCCAGCGCCTTCTCGTCGATGTCACCGTGGTCGTCGTGGGAGAGGGGGGGAGAGGATGCCGGTCGCGCTCCTCCATTTATCTGGCCCCATGTCGTCGTTGTCGTGGGAGAGGGAAGAGAGGTGGCTGGCACGATGACATCGCTGGCGGCGAGAGGCGGAGGGGATGACGCGCAAAATGGTGGGCACGCGCGGCCGACGCTCGTGTAGTGTTCGCGCCGCCCCGGGAAGCGGAGCAGGTCAATGTGGATCTCCTCACGAAGCGGAGCAGGGGGCAGGCGTCACCGGAGTTGGGTGGCGACGGGGCGCCAGCAGCTGCTGCCGCCGCTCTCGTTCGCCGCCACCACTCTCGTCTACCACCGCCGCTCTCGCCTGCTGCCCCTGCATGCTTCGCCCACCCCCCTTGGGTACTGACATGTGGGCCCAGGGTTTTTATTATTTTCCAAATCAAATTGCCACGTAAGCGTCATGTCAATGCCACGTTAGAGGATGACCGAGTAAAATTAACCACATAGCAGCTACATCAACTGTAATCGCCATCCAAACCTCCTTGGACTTATTTTGCACCGGTTTTGACAGCTGAGGAATTGTTGTATCCGGTTTTCCGGTTGAAGGACGAAAATCGGATTCGCTAACAAGTTAAGAGATCTCATATGAACTTATTCCTGTTGATAATGCTATCCTTGGGCCAAATCAGCCATCAATTGCACATTTATCTCCGGCCCAGCCCAGTCGGATTGCGCACAACATATAAAGTGGGAAGGGGTCTTACTATTTACGTGCTGTACTGAAATAATACCGCAATTCTTCAATTTCTCCTTGTATATTTTAACAAAAACCATTTTAAGATGCAGGGTATGTTAGATTTTGATCTCTGGCTAACGGGTTTGAGAATGTGTGGTGGGTTTGGTCCACTCGAGCAACGCGCTTACATGACAGAACAGAGTTGTCAGCTCGCACACAACCTCAAAAATCTCATGCGGCAATCGGTTCGTGCACCTAATCTATTAACTTATTAAAGAAATAAAAAAAAGTCTCCATGTTCGCTCCCACGGTCTAGAAATTCTCATATTAATCGGAGAAAAAAAAACAGAGTCTATATAGAAATATAATTTAGAAATAACTGAAAATCGGAATTAAAAATAAGGAATATTAAAAGAGGAGACTAGAGTCCATATAAAAATACAATTAAGAAATAATAGAAATTCGGAATTAAAAATAAGAAATATTATAAGTAGAGTATAAAGTCTGTATAGAATACAATTAAGAAATAATATAAATTCGGAATTAAAAATAAGAAATATTAGAAGTAGAGTATAAAGTCCATATATAAATACAATTAAGAGATTATAGAAATTCATAATTAAAAATAAGGAATATTAGAAGTAGAGTATAGAATCCATATAGGAATTTAAAACTAACTAAAATTCGAAATAAACATAATAAAAGTTTTAAAACTAACTAAAATTCGGAATAAACATAATAAAATTAAAAGTAGAGTTTAGAGTTTGTATAAAAATACAATTTACAAATAACTAAAATTCGAAATTAAAAAAAACATGGGAAGAAGAGTCTAAAATCAATATAGGAATACAATTTAGAAGTAACTGAAATTCGAAATTAAAAATTAAAGAATATTGAAAGACGAGTTTAGAGTCCACATAGAAATACAATTAGAAATAATAAAAATTCAGAATTAAAAATAAATAATATTGCAATAAGAGCCTAGAGTCTATATAGAAATACAATTTACAGATAACGGAAATATGGAATTTAAAAAAAATATTGAAAGACGAGTCTAGAGTCCATATAGGAATATAATTTAGAAATAACTAAAAGTTGATATTAAAAATAATTAATAACTAACACGTACATAAAATACAATATGAATATTTATATAAATTTCAATATGAATTAAAAATAAGGAATATTGAGAGAAGGGTCCATATAAGAACCCAATACGAGATTAATTAATATTCGGAATAAAAATAAAAATAAAATCCGAAATTAGCAAAATTAAAAGAAGAGTTCAAGTAGAAATACAATTTAAAATTAATTAAAATTCGAAATTTAATATAAGCAATATTGAAAGAAGAATCTATATAAGAACCCAATACGAGATTGATTAATATTCAAAATAAAAATAAAATAATATCCAAAATTAGAAAAACTAAAAGAGAGTTTAAGTAGGAATACAATTTTGAAACAACTAAAATTAAAAAAAATATTAAAAGAACACTATATGGTATTAATTAAAATCTGAAAAAAATAAATTCTGAAATTTGAAAAAAAATAGGAAATATTTCAATTAGGAATACAATTTATAAATAACTAAAATTCGTGAAAAAAAATAAATACTATTGAAAGAAAAGATCACCTAAAACACATGATGAGATAATTCAAGTAACAGGCCTATAAAGGAGTAGAGCGGTGGCGGTTGATACGATATATAAAAACTGTTAATAAAACATCAAATAGAATCCTAATGACGATTAAAAGGAGGAACGATAGGCAAGTCGTGAAGCAAATGGGTAAGGCAGTTGTCGGGACTTCTAGAAAGTAAAAAAATAAACCTCATTGATAACCATATTCGATTTTTAAAATCTCAATGATAATAAAAAAGAGAAGCAGCGGGCGGGGTGTATAGGAGTAGTAGAACAGCCGACGGTTGGGGGACTTCTATAAAATAAAAAAAAATGAATTCCAACGATAGTTATGTTCGATTTTTAGAATCCCAATGACAATAAACAGTAGGCGGGTATAGTGGCATCGTTTGACGAGACTTCTAAAAATTATAAAAAATAAAACCCAATAAGATCATAATCTCTACAAACTACAAGGTCCAATTTTTAAAGGTCCAGAACTTCTAAAAAGTAAAAAAAAAATCTAATGATAATCATGTTCGATTTTAAAATCTTAATGACAATAAATAAGGGAGGCAGCGGACAAGCCATAAAGGAGTACAATGGCAAAGTCGCTGACGGTTTGGCGGGACTTCTAGAAAGTAAAAAAATAAACCCGAATGATAATTATGTTCAAAATTTAAAATCCTAATGACAATAAAGAGAAAAGACAGTGGATGGGTCATAGAGGAGTATAATTGCAGTGTTTGACGGGATTTCTAAAAATTATAAAAACGAAACCAATGAGACAATAAACTCTAAGAACTATATGATCCAATTTTTAAAGGTTTCAAAGAGAATGAATAGAAATAGTGGTAGATCGAGCAAGCAAATAAAGAAGGATATGACTGAAGTAAGGGGTAGCATAGCAGCTGATGTGACTTTTAAAAACTATATAATTAGAAATACGAGGATGATAAGGTTTGGTCTTTTAAAGTCTTAAGAGAACGAGATATCTATTTAATAAATTTTAAGTAAAATCATACTGAAAAATATATGATTTTATTTGGGTACTAGACGCGCAATTGCGCGGCCCACCTAGCTAGTTATACTAATAATATCTAGTCAAGTATTATGTATATTATATCATTAGATTAATATTTTTAAAAATACTTTTATGTGATACTAATTTTATAGTTATCGATGACATAATATGAAATAAATGAATGTTCAAAGTATGTTATTTAAGGTCATGCAAAAATATATACCCCTACTCCTTATGATTTACTCCCTTCGTCCCTAAATATTTGACGCTGTTGATTTTTTTAAACATGTTTGACCATTCATCTTATTTTAAAAAAATTAAGTAATTATTAATTCTTTTCCAATCATTGATTCATTGTTAAATATACTACTACTATTCAAGTTTTTTTTAATAATATTCGTAAAAGTTTTTAATAAGACGAACGGTCAAAAGTATTTTAAAAAGTCTAACATACAGCGTCAAATAGGGTCGCTTCAGAACAGAAGGAATAGTTCCGTGCTAGTAGAATTTACTGTTTGTTCTTTACCCATTTTGGCATTGACTCGTTGGTTGTTGCCCTCTACTGTGGTGTTGCCTTGATATTTGCGATATACTGCTACTGTATACTGTATGGATAATGGAAACACATATTCGAACCATCGAATTACAGATTTCGTGTGTGAACAGTGAGACGAATTTATTAATCCTAATTAGTCCATCATTAGCAAATATTTACACCTAATTAGTCTATCATTAGCAAATATTCACTGTAGCACCACATTATCAAATCATGGCGTAATTAGTCTTAAAAAATTCATCTCGCAATTTACATGCAAACTGTACAATTGGTTTTTTTTTTCGTCTACATTTAATGCTCCATGTATGTACTGTCGAAACATTTTATATGACAAACAAGTTGAAAGTTTGAAGGGAAACACAACGTACAGTGAATTGTAGTTTTGGTAGAGTGGAATACTTGTAGCTGGTCCCTTGAGATTCCTCACAAGCTTCGTCGCTGTAAGGGCATCCACAATGTGGTGTAAAAGTAGTTCATAAGCAATAGAATATTTTATTCAGCCATCTATAACCATTGTGCAACTAGTCCATATGGAAAAAATAACAAAAGATACCCATATGCATATGGACTACCCATATGGAATAAATTATATTATCTATCTCTACTCCTCTCTCTTCTTCTATTGATACCTTGTATCTATATACACTGTGGAGATTGCTATAGGGAAAAACAATTTATATAGGTCTCATCTATATGGATCACTTTGACATATACATTGGTGATGCTCTAACCCATCTTGTCGAGAGTGGTGTTTTTCCTTTCTTTTTTTTATAAGATTGAGAATTGAATGGAACGCTGAAGAGCCGAATAGATGAATGATTGAACTGGCATTGTCATTCGCGATCATATGGGTGACGTGCTCCTGACTTCATGGAATATGTATCGCAGTTGTCAGTGGGCCGAGGAAGCAGAAGCGTTTGCGTGCAGAAACGGGCTTCGGCTAGCAGCAGAATGGATTCAGACGCCGGTTATCCTGGAAACTGACAGTGCCAACGTTAAGGCTAGCCTGTTGTGGCAGACTATCCAGGAAATTAAGGCTCTGTTTACTTCGTGTGCCAAATTTTTTTTAAATATATGAACACATATTTTAAGTAATATTAAAAACATTTTGTATTGATACTTTTTAAAAAATTATAGTGTCTTTTGTATTGGGAGAAAAAGAAAAAGAAAAAAAAAGAGAAAAAGGACCCCGATCGGGGAGTAACGCGCCCAGCTTTAAGTGGAAGCGTGTGGGATGGGGTGACGGGATGGTGTGAGCCGGTTGGGTTGGACTGAGAGGGTCGAGGAGGGGTTGGGCTATGACGGGGTGTATAATAGTTATTCTGACTCGTGTCGAATTAGATAAGAGCAACGTATAACCAACTCAAATGTAAATGATGTATTAAAATTTAGACGAAAACATCATCAATTTTTGTATAATAATATAATAATAATTGAGAAAATAATGGCCACTTCTTCCACCAAGAAAATGTAAGGTTGGATCTTTTTCATATGATGAGTAAATAACTCATAAAGTAATAAACAACGGCGACAATTACCGGTACGGCGATCTGCCGGAGACATCATGTGTGTTTTGTTTGTTGATAAAAGAAGCTGTGACATCATCAATATCGTAATCGCGTCAGCGTATATACGTACACACGTACTACGTACCTGCTGCGTCAGCCAAGTAGCCGTTCTCCCACGCCTCCGGCGGCGCGTCCGTGGCGCCGACCGCCGCCATGAGCGGCAGCAGGTAGCTGACGGCGATGAGCACCACCGCCACCGCGAGCGCCCGCGGGAACGTCCGCTCCGGCCGCTCCACCTCGCCGGCCATGGTGCTCGCGCTGTCCCAGTAGTTGAGGTTCCAGAAGAGCGTGTTGAAGAAGAGCCTCCAGTCTCTCTTCCCCTTCACCTGCACCCGCGCCGCCCACCGCCGCGGCCGCGTCCTCGGCGCCGCCATCGCCGTCATCAGCACGAACGGCGCCAGCGACACGAACCCCAGGGCCACCGCGCCCCACCCGACAATGCTTAGGCCGCCCAAGTTGAGGAAGGAGAGGAAGACGGTCATGCCGAGCACCGTGCCCGTGCGCGCCCTGCTTCCCGGGACGGCGACCGCCGGGGCGACGCGGCCGAGGTAGTCGGCGACGAGGGCCGGGAACGCGGCGAGGTTGATGACGCAGCTGAGGTACTTCCACGTGCCGAGCAGGGAGCCGGCGAGCGGGCCGAAGGCGCGGTCGGCCCAGACGACGAAGCCGCCGTTCCCCGGGAGCGCGGCGGCGAGCTCTGCGGTGACGAGCGACACCGGGACGCCCCACGCGAAGGGGAAGGCGAGGAAGCCGAGCAGCGCGAACAGCGGGCCCGCCGCGCTCACGGCCTGCTCGGCGCCGTACGGGCCGCCGGCCACCTCGAAGTAGATGAAGAAGACGAGCGGGAGTAGCGTGAGCTTGGTCTGGTGGTGGCGTTCGGCTGTCGCGCCGCCGCAGCCATGCCTGGCGACAGCTGCTTGGTGCCCTTGCTGTTCATCATCTTGTGGCGTCGCCGGCGCCGGCGCCGGTGCGGTGGCGCCGCCATGTTCTTGTGCTTGTTGCTGTCGCTGCGGCGATGGCCTCTGGTTCAGTTGGATTTCTTGGTCCATGGTGAGCTCACTCATGCGAGCTTACTTAGTTGCTAGTGTTCTCTTCATTCGTGTTTTTATAACCATAACCTGGTCGGCCAATACGATCTGACCTTAACGAGGCGATCTGAATTTAAATCGTGCCGAGTTTTTGGACATTTAAATCTACACCACTTATGCCGTATCGCCACGAAAACGCTACCGATCGCGTGATCACTTTCGTACATACGGAGGACATACAGATATGAAAAATCTATATGTTATAGTATAAAAAGATGCCCGTGCGTTACACTCAGTCAAAGGAAAAAAAGTGGTAGCGAGTGGGTGGGAGCATAAAGCCACCAAGTTAATTGAGGTTATTATAGGTGAATTGAATCTTCGTGGTGAAAAAAAAAAGACGCTAACATAACAATTATTTGTTGTTCTAAATCCACTGATATGGATGATTATAAGAAAACTATTAATACCATTTTAAAATAAAATTATGTATTACAGACTAAAGTTTGAAAGCATAAAAAGAATTTACTCTTATCATGTATTATTATGAGTCGGTTGTAATGCATAGTTATTTTTTTGGTGATAAACACTTTTTTTTTCAAATTGTAAAGAGTAGCTATAGTAGAAGAAATGTTTTTGGCTGGCTATCAGATCAAGCTCACTGTACTCCAATCACATAATCGCTTTCACTCTAAAAAGTTCAGAAGGAGATCGAACAATGAATAAAGCTTGCATCCCTCGTTTTTCTATCCATTGCCTTGTTTCCGCTCACTAGCTCTCTGGCCGAATCTCCAATGGGGAAGTTCACGCTTCCCGCTAAAGGAGTTTTACCCTCCGACAATATCCTTCATTAATAGAAAATAGTATTGATAGGTGGACAATTAGAAAGTATTGAAAAAATAAAAAAATTTAATTTAGGGGTTGATGATATTTAAGAGGTAGAAATAATCAACTTATTTTCAAATCAAAATAGAGAGTATGACACTGTTAACTTTTGGAAACAATTTGTTTAATCATTTATCTTATTAAAAAGTTGGCGTAAATATGAAAAAAGTAAGGCATACTTAAAATACCTATTATGATAAAACAAATAAATACAAAATAAATAATGATGGTTTTAGAAAAAAAACAAAATAAATTATGCTCACATAGTTTTCTAATAAAATGAATTATTAAACCTAATCTTTAAAAAGCCAACTAGGTGGCGTATATATTCGATAAAGTAAATTACACTAACAGTCCCTAAACTTGTTCGCCTGTGTTGTCTAGGTCCTCGAACATTGAGGGCTCCTTTGAAATGCAGGATTAAAAATAGGAAGAAATAGAAAAAACACATAATTTTAATAGGAATACAAGTGCAAAACAAATGATTATAAAATATAGAAAAACACATGAATCGTTGTTTGATTTGTCCACAGGAATAGGACGAGAGAATAGACTCAGGAAATTTTTCAAGAGGTTGAAGTTTTTGCTAAGTTTTCTCCAAAATCTATATGTAATATATGTAATGAGCCATTCCTTAGTAATTTCGTAGGATTTGGAAAGTTCCGGTCCTTTGTATCGAAGAGGTTATATGATTTGAATCCTATAAAATTTCTCCCTAAATTCATTGATTTGAAGGGTCCAAATTGTTTTTTAAGTCCCCAACCTTTTGAGAGTGTGTTATTCCAGTCCCAAATTACAATGACCCATTTAGGATCCTCTCGCATGGCAGATAAACATGAACATTGACTCATTTTGTTTTATCTTTTATCTCCTCTTCTTCCTTCCTATTCGTGTGGGAAAAAGAGAAAAAAGAAAAGAAGACAAGGGAAATGTGGAGGAGATGAAAAAAAATTTGAGACCAGAATGTTTACATGGAATGTCACTTTAGTGTCTATGTAGCATGTCACTTAAGCGCCACATAGGATCGTGGAGTGGTCATGGCAATATGGAATACTTATGACACTCTAATTAGTTCGAGGACATAAAAATATAATGGGGGCAATTTTGTTCTTACCCCTATTTTCACATTCAATTGTGGTTTTGCTCCTGTTTTTTTGGGATTTTTGTTTTCCCCCATTTGTTTGGAATAAGTCAAATTTTACTCCTACTTTGGATGGTTAAGTTGATGGTGTCCAGTTGTTGGCAAAAAGACATTTATACCCTTACTTGCTATTGCACATTTGCCCCTATATTTATTCATCAGTAATCGTGCAATTTTCTCTCATTTTGCTCATGCAGTTAGCAACTTGATTTTTTTAAAGATATTTTATACCAAATGATTTTTTTACGAACATTGATGAACATAACAATTCCGAAGAATATCAGCAAAATTTTGAAACAAATCACCACGTTCAGACATCAGTGTACTAGCTATAGTTCGTACGGTTACTTCAATTCACTGCACTGAGCTAGTACTATTAGATCATTCCCAACCCAATGACTAGGATGGTGTCCATAACATTAAATAAGCTGCCACCTAGAATGAAAAATGATATGACAAGTGAATAAATGAGGAAAGAGAAGGAAATCATGTCTTGCATGAGACATGATTTCTACACAACATCCAAGGCATCATGTGTGATAAGTAGCATTAAATTTAAGTGTGGAATAATGGTGTTTGCATTAGAAGAGTAGCGTTTAGTACTTGATAATGTGGAGTTTATGGAAACTATGTTTAATGTCTTGGGTTGGGAATGGTCTTATCCAGCCAGACGAGGAGATGCTGGGCGGTGCTATTCCCAGCCGGGGCCCGGCGCTGCCGTTGAGAACCATTATATCGCTCCAAGAGCACGACATATATTAGGGGTCTGTTGAGATCCCTGGAAAAAAATTATACCTTGTCACATCGAATATTTGGACACATTCATAGAGTATTAAATATAAATGAGAAAATAACTTATTGCACAGATTGCATGTAAATTGCGAGATGAATGTTTTAAGCTGATAATGTAGTGTTACAGTAAATATTTTCTAATGATAGATTAATTAGGCTTAATAATTTCGTCTCACAGTTTATAGGCGGATTCTATAATTTCTTTTATTATTAGACCATGTTTAATACTTCAAATGCGTGCCCGTATATTTGATGTGATACGCCAAACCCCTGATCTAAACACAACCTAGTTTGATGCTATATGTGTTAGGAAAGTTTATCTCTCGGCATGAAAATCGAGAGGAAATCTCGGATGGCCGTTTTCCACCCGGTGCCTACGGGATTAACGCGATTCAATTTCCATAATTACGTGATTATGCGCATTGATCGGTAGCGCCAAATCTTTCCATATTTTGGATTACCCCCGATCTCCCTCAGCGCCATACTAATAGGGGAGGCCGGTGTCATGGTGAGATGACGATCTCTTCACGACCTTCTTTTCCCCGAAAATCCCAAAAACCCTATCCGATCAATTGAGCGCTGGAGGGAGAACGTGTGGTGTTTCCGGGACAGCGTAGGTGGCGACCAGAAGGCCGCCGCTACCCCGCAAGTGATCGGCGGCGACCCCTTCGGGATCAAGCCGGTGCTCACACTGCTACTGCTACCACTACTACCTCTACACCGACAAGAACAGGGAGAATCGCATCAATGGCTTCAAACAACGGTCAGTAACCTAAGGATTCCGTATTAGGGTGATCATGTTAGGCTTAGCACTTATGTCTTAGTAGATCGTAATTTCTACATTTGGCATCAGAGCCATTGCTTTAGTCTCATGATCCCATCATCCCGATTTGAAGCTTAATGCCATGATCTTGCTTCTGTATAAGTCGGTTTGATGAAATTTTCCTCATGTTTAGTGTTCTGTTAATAATTAATTAGGCCAAGATTAAGGCTTATTTACCACTGCTCAAGGCCAATTAGTTCATGTTTATGTTGTTTAATCATTTAAGGCTTGGGTAGCAATTAGAAGGAGGTGAATTTCGGCGGATAGTAACAATCCCCAAATTTTCCCCAAAATTTCAAAACCCTAATTTGAGAAATTCCCCAAATAAGAACCGTAAAAATTCCCGGCGGATTAGCAAATAACATACCGACATTACGACCCTCACTGTCGTCGCCGCGCGTGGCATCAGCTCGCCCGCGCGCTCGGTGGAGTCCTCGCCGTCGTCCTGGACCGGCCTCGCGCCTGCTTCCCGTGGGCCGCGCGAGGTCGAGGCTCGCTGCCATGGCCCCGGCTGCGCACGGAGGAGAACCGGGACGGCAGGCACCGGCACGGCATTAGACCGTGCGGCATCAGCCCGCCGCACGGGGCACCGCCGACCGCGGCCCTCTACGCCGCGCGTCGTCGCCGCGCAGCCCCGCTGCCGTCGCCGCTGTGCCCTGCCGCCACCGCCTCCCGGCGCGCTCCGCCACGCCTCGCACTGTTAACAGTGAAATTTGGTAAGCCCGGAGTAGTCATCGGCTGAGAGTCAGCATCGGCTTCGAAGTCCTGAGATTAGCTGATGTGAATTGTCAAGTCATCAGTAGTCGGATTCCTGCTATATTCGGTTAAGGAAATCAATCTACTAAAGGAAGCTTATCCCTAAGTGACCGAGTTTAAAGAGGATGCGGCATGGCAGTTTATCTATTAATTAGGAATAGTTTGTTAGTTTCCTTTTATCTTTAGGAAAGTATGTTTAGTGTCTGATAAGGACTTTTTATTTTTCTTTTTTCTTTAGGTTAGTTTCTTTCTTGTCCGACAAGGACTTGTATCAACCCATGGGTATAAATATGTACACCCGGGGTCTATGTAATCTATCTTCACGATCAATGCAATTCGGCGCATCGCCACCCTTTTTACTTCTACTTTTGTTTTTTAAGTTCCGACGGAACTTGGCATCGGTGTTCGATCTCTGGCGAAAGGGTAAGTCCAATGTTCCGTCGGCCCAGGCAATTGTATCGTTTACATCGGCGTCGTTCAATGCTGCATCAGTACATTCGACCTCTTGGATTGCTCTGGTTTGGATGATATAATTGCCTATCTATTTATCATGTCTCTGTTAATCTAGTCTTAGCATATCAATTTAGGTCTATCGGCTGTCTCTTGCTTTAGGGTTCCTGCCGGTATCGGCTAAATCGCGTTGCTAGATTAGATTAGCCTAGGCATCTACCACCGTGAAAATCAGTCAACGGCTTGATTCTCTAGATATTGTGTTTCTTTTCATACTTAGT